CGGCGCCCGGGGCTCCGCAACAGGTCCGGCCCGGCGCAAACTTATGCCCTATTAAGGGAAGGCGGCGGCGGCGGCGGTGCGTGGCGCCCATCGGGCACCGGGAGCTCCCTGGGCCGCCCGCCCGCGCCACGTGGGGCGCACCGCCCGTCGCCCGCCTGCCTACCTTTGTACTTCTCGCGCACGTCCTCGTAGGCTTGGATGAAGTCCTTCTCCTCGGGGTTGGGGGGCAGCAGGCTGAGGTTGAAGGTGGCCATGGCGCGGGGCGGACTGGCCGGCGAGGGGGCGCGCCCGGCCTGCCTGCCTGCCTGCCTCTCCGGGGGCGGGGAAGCGCGACGGGGCGGGAGGCGGCTCGGCCGGCGAGCCAAGCCCTGCAAGGACATTCCAGCTGCCGGCCGGGCCCGACCCTTTAAAGGCACCGCCGCCCACGCCGCCCAACCCCGGCCGGGGCGGAGGAGCGACGGGGCGGGCCGGCCGACGGACTGCGGAGCACCTGCCACCTCGGGGGCAGGCCTGGCAAGCGAGGTAGCGGCTGGTGCAGGCTGCGCCGCCAGGGACCCCGCCGTCCCCTTCGGAAGGAGGCGACGCAGGGCCACTTCCTGACTCCTCGGAAGAGCCCAGCCCTCGAGGGACGAGGCCACGGGGAGATCCCAGCTAGCCGGGTCTCCTGTCCTCCCGGGGCCCACGGGGGTCTCTTCCGGGCCTGAGCGCAACTGCAGCTGCTCTCCCCACCTGCAGCTCCCCACAGCTGGCCCTCAGACGGGGAAGCGAGGCGGTAGCCATTGTGGCTCGTCGCCTGCAATAGCCTGGTCCTCCAGGAATTTGCCCCGTTCCCTTTTAAAGTCTCAGCCATGCCACCTCTAGTGGGAGAGAGTTCCATAGGGCGAAGGTCAGGGCAAAAGGGCCCATCTGGCCCAGCATCCTATTCTCACAGTGGCAGTAAATCAGGGCCAGAGAGCAAGGGCCCGCTCCGCCTCCTCTCTGTGGAGGCAGAACAGAGCCCTCCTGGCTACATCCACAGCCCTCGGTCTCCTCCATGAATTTGTCTAAGCCTCTTTCTCAGCCATCCAGGTGGGTGGCCTCTCCATCACTGCCACCAGAGGTGTGGGGGGGGGGCCTTGGTTCTTCCTTCAGTGGCTGGTATGGGGAGGGCCTGTGCCTGGGGACCCTGGAATCCTAAGAAGGGGACCCCGACATAAAGACTGTCTAGCTGGCTGCAGAGGGATTTCCAGGGCAAGAGTCCTCTTCCTGTGGATTTCTCCTCCAGGCCCCCCCCCCCCAAGTCGTTCTGCCTGAGCCTCTGGCCCAGCCATCTTCTCTTGGTAGCAGGAGTGTAACTCGAGCGGGTGGGTGGGTGGGCGGGCAGGCGGGCTCCCCCCCCCCCCACAAAGCCCAGCAGGACAGACAGAGGGAGAGAGACGGGGCCATGTGTCGTTTTATTGCGCCAACCCGCCTGCCCCACCCCCTGCAAGCTATGAGGCCAACAGGTATTTATAAAGCGCCCGCTCTGACTCCAACAGGTTCCAGGGATTTTTCCAGCAGAGGAGTTCTTTCTCTCTCCAACCCCCCCCCCAAACTCCGCAATGGCCAATTATCCCTCGTCTTCCCCGCAGCTGGCACATGTGCCCCACCACTGACGTCAGCGGCAACAAAATAGCCCCATGGCTGCACCCAAAGTCCTGGGAAGAGTCCACAGGTGGGGGGGGGAGGAGTGAGAACCCCCAGTGGGATTATTTGTGCTGCAGAACTCAGAGTGCCCCAGCCTGGCCCAAGTATGCGCTATGAAGTCAATGTGCCCTCTTAGGGAAGGACAATTGCCTCATGTTCCTAAGCCTGCAGGACAGAGCACGGTGGCACCAGAAAGGGCGGCCAGGGAGCCAGGGGGATGGGGGCACAATTCAGCCAGGGAGGGGGCCACCCAGGGCATTAATTCAGGCAGGACTTGGAGGACCAGCTGGCATAGGCGGGGCTGCCCACCCACTCATCCTGCTCCCCACCTGGGCTTGGGCTTGGGGGTCCTCCTCTGCACCCGGTTTGCCAAGGTCTCCAGTATGATGGGGAGAGAGGAAAGGTCAAAGGTCGGGCTCGCTCCTGCAGGTGTTGAGAGCCAGCCTGAGCCCCCTGCTCCAGCCCCAGAAGTCATGCTCAGACTTCTGGCGTTGGCCCCCTGGCGGTGTGCCAGGAGCTCCCGTGACTCAGCCCTGGGGCAGAAGGGAGTGGCGTCAGGTGGACTCTGGGCAGGCTGTGGCCATGCCAGGCTGATCACTGGCCTTTGACGGGAGCAGGCGTGCCAGAAATCAGCCGGGAAACTCCCCTGGGGTGCCCCGCCTGGGTTACCCAATGCAGCGCCACAGAGGGCATCTGGAGGGGCCAAGAGGGAGCCTCTGCCGCTGGTCTGAGCCAGCTGCTGGAGGACAGCCAGCAAATGGGTTGCTCAGGGAAGACCCCATAAAAGCTCCTTGCCAGCCGCCAACTGCTCGGCTCGGCTGCTCCAGCTGTGAAGAAGCAAAGGCAACCTGGCCGGCCCGTTGAAAGCAGCCCCAGCAAGAACTGAAAGAAGCACCTCTGGGCTGGAGGTAACCCAAAGGCCATCCAATCCAGCCCCTCCCCACCCCTGTTCCTAAGACAGAAGATTCAGAAGAGATAAGAGGAAGGACTTCTGCATGCAGCGCAGAGTTGAACTGTGGAACTCCCTCCCACAGGAGGCCACCAGCCTAGAGGGAGTTATACAAATTCATGGCAGAGGGGGCCGGGGAGGGCTCTGCTCTGCCCCCACAGTGGGGGGCAACAATGTTTCTGGATATCAGATACTGGAAACCACAGGAAGGTTTCCCACAGGCCTCTGGACGGCCACTGTGAGAACAGGAGGCTGGACTAGATGTGCCACTGGCCTGATCCTGCAGGCGCTTGTAATGTTCACATGATCCTTTTTACGCACAAGAACCGGCCTGGAGTGCCAGCGCCTTAATGCAGGATGGCGGCAGTAAGAAGAAGAAGAAGAAGTTATTATTTACACCCCGCCCATCCGGTTCGGCTTCCCCAGCCACTCTGGGCAGCTTCCAACAAAATATTAAAATACTGTAATACATCAAACATTAAAAGCTTCCCTAAACAGGGCTGCCTTCAGATGTCTTTTAAAGATAAGATAGCTGCTTATTTCATTCCCATCTGCTGGAAGGGCCTTCCACAGGGCGGGTGCCACTACCAAGAAGGCCCTCTGCCTGGTTCCCTGTAACCTCACTTCTCGCAATGAGGGAACCGCCAGAAGGCCCTCGGCGCTGGACCTCAGTGTCCGGGCTGAACAATGGGGGTGGAGACACTCCTTCAGGTCTACTGGACCGAGGCCATTTAGAGCTTTCAAGGTCAGCACCAACACTTTGAATTGTGCTCGGAAATGTACTGGGAGCCAATGTAGGTCTTTCAAGACCGGTGTTATGTGGTCTCGGCGGCCGCTCCCAGTGACCAGTCTAGCTGCCACATTGTGGATTAGTTGTAGTTTCCGGGTCACCTTCAAAGGTAGCCCCATGCAGAGCGCATTGCAGTAGTCCAAGCGGCAGATAACTAGAGCATGCACCACTCTGGAGAGACAGTCCGTGGGCAAGGAGGGTCTCATCCTGTGTACCAGGTGGAGCTGGTAGACAGCTGCCCTGGACACAGAATTGACCTGTGCCTCCATGTACAGCTGTGAGTCCAAAATGATTCCCAGGCTGCGCACCTGGTCCTTCAGGGGCACAGTTACCCCATTCAGGACCAGGGAGTTCCCCAGACCCGCCCTAGAGGTAATTCAGAGTGCACCCTCTTTCTTACAAGCTAGGCTCAGAGTGTTGGGGGTCACCATCAGTGGTCCCTCCTAACCAGCAAACCACACACACACACACACACACGCAGCACCCCAGAGGCCTCTGCCCAGATGACTCATGCTAGTAAGCCCGGCGCCTGCCAGATTCCTTTCCCCAGCATCATCGCTTCCCAGCTCTTCCCAGTGTCCCTTGTGGGTTTGGGTTAACCCCGTGGGAGCTGAGCTGCATCCCACACATCCAACCATCACGAGAACGACAACTTAGCTCACAGAAAAACCTAGTCACGACTAAGGCAAAGGAGAGTCCACAGTCTCCCAGGAGAGACTGTTCCACTGTCAAACCGCTCGTGTGTTGACTCTTAGGTTTGCAGGAAGTGCACTGGTTTGCAGGAAGCGCACCCTAAGGGCAGAATTGGACCACGACATTTCCCTGGACCTTGGTAGGGAGAAGCTGCATGTGGCAGAATTACACACACACACACACACACACACACACACACACACCCCTCCCCCAAGGAAAGAGGCTCAAAAGTGCTTAATTGTGCCTGGATCGCTGCCCTCTAGTTTTCATGCCCCCAGCTTGGGATGAGAAGAAAAGGGAGCTCTCTTGGGTTGCCAGGATACCTCCTTCCATAGGAAGAGCAGCTGCCTTCTGGGAGCTGAGGGGCCTCCTGACATCCCCCCCCCCCGGATTCCTAGAGCCAGGGGCAAACATTTCAGCCACAAGGTCACAAACTCTGCTTTGCCAGGCTAGCCTGGATCCCTGCTAGGAAGAGGAGGAGAGCAGGGACTTGGGTCCACTTCCACGCTGGCTGGGCCTGGCAGGAAACTCTGGACTCCACAGGCCAGTGATCAAAGGGCTCCTAGGTATGAATAATGACCCCCCACCTGCATTCCAGAGCAGGGATCGCCTCTGAACCTTTGGCAGGAGGAGGGGAGGAGACGCAAACTTGCCAGACAAGAGAGCTTTGCTGGCAGTGATCTAGGGGTCAAGCACATTCCTCTCCCAGGAGGGGAATCCCACAGCCCTTCTGGCTCCTCTTGGAATCACAGAATTATTGAGGAACGCCAGGGGTCATCTAGTCCAACCCCCAGCAATGCAAGAACCACAGTTCAAGTGTCCCTGACAGGGGAAGGCTTGCTCGATTTGACCCTTAAACACCTGGTGCCTTTTGCCTCTTTGGGGCACACCTCTTCCTGGCGACAGGTCTCCTGGCAGACATGGCAGCATTTCACAATACAGCCAGGGGTTGCACCTGGGCGAGCCAAAGTCCCTTCATTTCCCTGAAAACAGGGCTGGGCCTTTCAGGGCTCCTCCTTCACCCCCCCCCCAGGGATGGCTGGAGGGAGGAAACTGGCTCTCTTACTGGTAATCAGCCTCTAGCCAGAGTGCAGGAGCAGGATGATGCCCTTCCAGGCTGGCCCCAGCCTCTGCCCAAGATTGCTTAAGGCAGGTGAGTGACCTGCGGGGTGGGGGGGAGGGAGGGCAAAGTGTCTGTCCAGGGAGGGTGATGTCATCTCCCCAGGTGGGTGCTATTTGCCGAACCTCTGCGCACCAAATAAATAAGCTTTTCAGAGAGAGAAACCCACTAAACAAGCCCAGCCAAGAGGGAGGCCACACCTGTGTGCAGGGCGAAGGGTTAAGCCGCCACTGCCCTGGGATTGCAGCTACCCAAAATAAAGACAAGTGAGGCTTCTGAGTCCTCCGGAATCCCCCCTCGGGCTGGAGGGAAGCAAAGCAGGAGGTTTGAAGAAGAAGAAATTGAAGAAGAAATTCCGACGAAAGAAGAATGGCAGGCGAAATTAATGGGCTATGCAGAATTGGACAAAATGACGGGAAGGATTCGAAACCTGCAGGACCAGAGATTTACACAAGATTGGAAGAAGTATATGAATTATTTGAAGAGCAACTGTAATCAACAAATTATGCCAGTAGGACTGTGAGAAGTTTTGTAAGGAGAAATATACGAGGTGTTACAAAGTAGAAAAAAATAGAGATATTGGTTATGTGTTTGAAATGTACCGTATTTTTCGCCCTATAGGACGCACTTCTTCCCCTCCAAAAATGAAAATGTGTGTGCGTCCTATGGGGCGAATGCAGGCTTTCGCTGAAGCCTGGAGAGCCCCACCGCCAGCCCCACAAGCTCGGGGGACAGCGGGGAGGCGGAACGCCGCCATCCCGCTGTCCCCCGACTTGGTTAGAAGGCTGGCGGGGGGGAGAAGCCTGCTCCTCCCCGTCGCCAGCCCCGCAAACTCGGGGGACAGCAGGGAGGCGCAGCGCACCATCCCGCTGTCTCCCGACCTGGTTTGGAGGCTGGCAGAGGGCTTCCCCCTCCCCCAGTCCTGCAAGCTCCTAGAGCTTCGGCATGGCTCTGGGTCCCGTTCTGGGGGCTGGGGTCGGGGGAAGCTCAGGCTTCCCCCGCCCAGCCCCGTGCCGGGGGGGGGGGAAATAATTTTTCCCCCTTTATTCCCCCCCCAAATCTAGGTGCGTCCTATGGGGCGAAAAATACGGTAATAGGGAAAATAAGAAATGCATACTAAGAGATTAGATCGGAAAATTTTCAGACAGGAGTCATGGAAGTAAAAAAAAAATTGAATAAGATGTAAAAGTATGTTTAATTATTGTTGAAAATGGTACGTTAAAAAACTAATAAAAATTTATATTAAAAAAAAGGTAGCAAAGCAGGAGGACCACAGAATGGCAGAGTTGGAAGGGATCCTGATCTAGTCCTAGTCAATCTAGTCATTTGAGAGCCAGTGTGGTGTAGTGGTGAAGAGCGGTGGATTCGTAATCTGGGGAACCGGGTTTGAGTCTCCGCTCCTCCACATGCAGCTGCTGGGTGACCTTGGGCCAGTCACACTTCTCTGAAGTCTCTCAGCCCCACTCACCTCACAGAGTGTTTGTTGTGGGGGAGGAAGGGAAAGGAGATTGTTAGCCGCTTTGAGACTCCTGAAGGGAGTGAAAGGCGGGATATCAAATCCAAACTCTTCTTCTTCTTCCAGCTGAATAATCCCTGACGGATGGCCACCCAACCTCTGCCCTGAAACCTCCAAGGAAGGAGAGCCCACCGCCTTCCCAGGGAGTCCGTTCCATTGCTGAGAAGCTCTCATTCGCCAGGAGCAGAGAGAGAGTCACCCACAGCTTCCTCCCTTCAGCTGACCCAGGGCGGCTTCAGAGGCTCCCCTGGGACTCAGATGTTTCTCAAAACTGGGGGGTCATAGCATGTCCCTTGCAGAATAGAATGCATCTCCCAAGCTCCCCATGGCCTGCCAGAACTGCAAGTTAAAAGTCAGAAGATCCCTTGGATAAGATGAGGGAAATATACACATTTTTGCGCCCTCCAGGGTTGTCCACCCATCACTAGTGAAAGATAGACAGGAACGAAGTTGCTTTCAAAGCAGTGACTTGAACACACACAAATGGGGAGTTCCTTGTACAGTCAAACCTCGGCTGTCGATCATAATCCATTACGTAAGCCTCTTCAGCTTCCAAAATGTTCAACAACCGAGGCGCGGGTTTCAATTTGCTGCAGGAGCTTCCTGCACTCAGCTGAAGCCGCTTCGGACATTCGGCTTCTGAAAAACAGAACATTTACTTCCAGGTTTTCAGGGTTCGGGTGCCAAAACATTCCGAAACGGAGGCGTTTGGGATCCGAGGTTTGACTGTACATAAAATATGAGGGTTGTTTAGTACTGCTGGGCCCTGAACCAGCACCAGGGGGAGGGGGGCTTCTCCCCGTCACCCACTGTGCCCTCCAGAGACGCACCTGCCTTTGCCACCTGATCCAAAGCGCCACCAAAATAGCTGGAGAACGAGGAGCCCTGGCAGGCATTGTGCAGGGGGCACGGCAGGCGGGGAGAAGACCCTCTCCAAGGACAACGGGTGCTGGGAAGCAAAGGGAGCCTTGCTTGGCCACTGCCTCGCCCCGCTCCGTCTGAGACCACTGAGCAATGCTGCCCTCCTTTCTGGCAGCAGTTCAATGGATGTCGGAAACTGAACCCGGGACCTTCTGCAGGTAAAGCAGATGTTCTCTGGCCCCATTCCCGAAAAAATCGCCAATGGGAGTGTCTCACAGAGCTGCTCTGGCTGCCCATCTGCTACCCAGCCAGGTTCAAAGTCCTTCTATTAATTGACAATGCCCTGAAGAATTTGGGTCCAGGGTACCTCAGGAATCGCCTGAACCTTCTGATCCAGCTCAATCACTGAAGGAAGCTCGTTTTACAACATCTGCCTCATTGACCCGGTCCTGTGGAACTCCCTGCCAATGGAGATTCAGCGGGCGCCTTCTGTGCCAAGTTTTAAAAGCCTGCTGAAAACTTTACTCTTCCATCGGGCCCAAGCAGGCAGTTAATATATCCCTTCCACAATCGTCTACTGATGTTTGTTTTTAATTCTTTTGCTTTGAACTTGTTTCTAAGTTTTTCTTATTTTACTGTGTGGCTTTGTATTATTGTAAACCACTGTGATAGAAATGATACAGTGGTATGGAAATATTTTTTATATAAATAAAGAGTCGCACCCCTTCCACTCCCCCTGGCAGGTAGCCAGACCTCTTTCCCCATGAGCAAAGTCCCACAGCCAGGAAAGGCTCCCATGGGATGAGTGCGCATGCCAGAGAACTCCTCCAGGGAAGACCATCTCACCTGCAGGCCAGGAGAGGCTCCGCAGCCTCCATGCGCTGGCATCAAGGCAGCCAAAGCCGGGAACCTGAGACAGGTGAAGCCAAGGACACAGAGGGAGGGCCCAGAGCGGGCAGGACTGGGCGCTCCATGCCCCTTCCTTCGCAGGGCTCTCTGCTCCCTCAGGCATCCATGGCATGCCACCCGGGCCCAAGTCCTTCAGCCTTCAGAAGTGGCACCTGGGCAAAGCGCCAGGAGGGGCACAAAGACAGGCAGAGGAAACCAAGAGCCCTCAAGCCTGTGGCTGGAGCCTGGAGGGCAGGGGCAGCCAGAGAGAAGCTGAGGGGGAAAGGGGCGTCTCTGTGGGATTCAGAGCTCAGCCTCAGTGGAAAGAACTGCAGCCCCTGGTCTCCCCCAGAGCAGAAGGAAAAGACTTCAGGGGAAGCCAGTGAGAGAGAACCAGGGAGCTGGAAGGGAGAGGCCAAGGGCGCCCACCACCCTCCACAAGGCCAGGCCCCAGCCCTCAACCAGCCAGTGCAAGGCAGAGCACACCACAGGGCTGTAACTCATTAGCACAACACCTGGGTTCAGTTCTCCGCACCTCAGTACCTGATGGGCCACCTCTCCCCATAGACACTGACCCTGCACGTGTCCTTTGAGGCCCGTCTCTAGGTGCCCCCTGCCTGAGAGGTCCAGAGGGTAGCAACACGAGAACAGGCCTTTTCTGTGGTGGCTCCCCATCTGTGGTTGGCTCTCCCCAGGGAGGCTTGCCTGGTGCCAGCATCACATGTCTTCAGGTGCCAGGCAAAAACATTCCTCTTTACCCTTCGGCCATTAAACAGTCAATGTGCAGTGGTGTCCAAACTTTTTTCAAAGAGGGCCAGATTTGATGAAGTGAAGGGCTGTGGGGGCCGACCGAAGGGCCAACTAATGTTGTTGAGCTTCTCTTAGGATTGAAGTTGTTGAGGTTTTTTTAGGATTTTACCCCAGGAAATAGACTGCCACAGGCGCCGGCGGGCCAGATTAGGCCCATAAAATAGACTTTGGACATGCCTGGTCTATGGTATTTTAAATGTGGGGGGACTATTATCATGATTATTCTATTATTAAGCTGCGTATTATTCTTTATTTTTAGGCTGCACAAATTAAGTTCTCAGTGTTGTACACTGTCTGTCCCGAACTGAGCAAGTGAGCCAGGCCAGGAGGTGGTGGACTCTCCTTCCTTGGAGGATGGGGGGGGGTAATAAATATACTATTATTATTATTATTATTATTATTATTATTATTATTAGCAGTGGTTGGATGGCCATCTGTCATGGATCCTTTAGCTGAGACCCCTGCATTGCAGGGGGTTGGACTAGATGACCCTGGGGTCCCTCCCAACTGCCATTCTATGGTTCTGTGGTTCAAATCCCTACTCAGCCATGGAGCTCACGGGGTGACCTTGGGCCAGGAGCTGCTTCTCAGCCACACCTACCTCACAGGGTTGTTGCAGGGATAAAAATACGGAGCGGAGAACTATGCCTTGAGAACCTTGGAGGAGAAGATGGGATCACGGAATCAGAAATGCAAGAAGTAAATACAGTGGACGCTCGGGTTGCGAACGTGATCCGTGCAGGAGGCACATTCGCAACCCACAGCGTCCCCAACCCACAGCGCCGCTTCTGCACACGGGCAGGTTGCAATTCGGCGCTTCTGTGCATGTGCAAAGCGCAATTTAGTGCTTTTGTGCATGCACGAGTGCCAAAACCCGGAAGTAACCCATTCCGGTACTTCCGGGTTTGGCGTGTCCGTAACCCGAAAACGCGCAACCTGAAGCGTCTGTAATCCGAGGTATGACTGTAAATAAATGGGCTGTCCGTGGGTCCAATGCCAGGCCTTGCCCTCCCTCCTGTGGGGCTGAGGAAGGTGCAGAGAAGCTGGACTGGACACTGCCCAGCCTGAGATCAGGGGAAGGACCCAGCCGGGAGCGCTGGCCTAAGGGAGGAAGAGAGGGCGACACCGTGGCCCCCGCTCTCTGCCCAGGCGGCTCCTGAGTCTCTGCTTGGCTCCTCTGGGAACTCCTTTGCTGCCAATGGACAAGGAGGAGCTTGGGGGGCGGCGAAGGGACCTGTATTGCAGGGCCCCCTGCTGGAGGCTGCTCTCACTGCAGGGCAGGACCAAGGCAAGGGGCATCTCTGCCCACAGCGCCACTGCTGCATCACACACACACCCCACACACCCAGCCCCTCCCAGCAGGAGACTAGGCAAGAGGGGCCCCAGCCCCCATGATCCCACCCGGCATAGGAGAGAAACAGTCGCCCCACTAAGGACAGAGAGAAACTGGTGGGTGAATCTGTCCCTTTCAGGTCCTCTCCGTTTCTTCCCCTTCTGCTCTTCAGTTCTCCAGGCCTCCAGGCCAGTTTGCAAATTATTGTTTTTTAAAGTCTCCATGAAGATCCATCAGCATGTTCATGCAAATGTCTCTCCCAATATACAATGCCGTTTCCCCTAATAAGCACCTTTCTGCACACAAGGTTATGCACACTTTATCTCTGTACAGTTGTACCTTGGTTCTCGAACCTAATCCGTTCCAGGAGTCCGTTTGACTCCCGAAACCATTCGAAAACCAAGGCACAGCTTCCGATTGGCTGCAAGAGCTTCCTGCACTCAATAGGAAGCTGAGTCGGACGTTCGGCTTCTGAAAAACATTTGAAAACCAGAACACTTACTTCCGGGTTTTCGGTGTTTGGGAGCCAAAACGTCCAAATACCAAGGCGTTTGAGAACCAAGGTACAACTGTATATGCAGAGCTGCAGTTACTGTACTTGGCTGAGAAACTGCCCTGCAAAATCAGGAGCGTTTCAAAGGACGCAGGGGTCCAGTCTGGTCCTTCCTTGCTTGGAAAAGTGGGAATTAGGCTGGGCCAGGGATAGATTGGGGAATGGAGTCAGTTCACGTTTCCTTGGATTTCTCTCCCCCATCCTTACCTGTGGCTAAAGGGAGCACAGGTGACTCTCAAGGTGGGGGAGGGGGAGACCTTGAGCTGCTGGAGCACAGGCAGGACCCAAGGCAGACCCAAGGAGAGTGACCCAGAGCCTGCCTGCTTAATTTACAACAAAGTGGCAGTGCAGAAGGATTTTTTAAATCATATAGTTAGAAACTCATTATATAAGGTCTGGGACAGGTATCACAGATTATTAGAGCCTAAGATACCCTGGTGGGTATCCCCAGTGGAGACGATATCGGTAAAAAAGAATAATATGGGTACAAATCAGGTAACCAACCAGCAACTGATAAAAATAGAACAGGGCCAATAGGTTACCAGTTTTTTTTCCAATGAATCCAGGGACACTTTTCAACTTCAATGGATTTTGTATGGGGGCTGATTTGTAAATCTGGGGACTGTCCCCGGGAAATGGGAACATCTGGTAACCTTACAATGCACATATGTGTAAACCTTTTTTCTTTCTGTTATTTTGTAGAGATAAAAACCTCAATAAAAGTTAATTTTTTAATTTTTTTTAAAAAGGAGAGTGACCCAGAGGTGCTGAATGGAGCAGGATGACACCACCCCCCCTCACAGGCAGAGGGCCAAGCAGAGCAGCAGCAGCAGAGGCTGGAGGCCTCAGCGTCAAACAGAGCAAGCAAACAAGACCTGCCCACGCCCTGCTGGCTATGGCAGGTGGTGGCTGGGTGTGCCCCTCCCTCTGCCAACAGGAAAGGAGCTGTGGGGGCACCTGGAGAGCGCAAGGGTGGGGGGTCTGGAGTCTGCAGGGTCTCTCATTCTCACACCAACAAGCCTCAGGGGTTGCTGTGTTGTAGTGATCAGATGGGATTACCAGGAGGAATTATAAAATATACATCAAGCCATTGTGTCCACGATGAATGCATTGTGTTGACTGGGTTTAATGTATTGACCATAATTTCTGATTAAATCCCATAAGCTTCTACATTTATGCCATATTTCCTCTACTGTCCATTTCTCTTGATTGACAAGTCACACACACACACACACACACACACACACACACACACACGGGCACTGAGGCAGGCATACTCAGTCAGCAAAGACAGTGGGCAGTTTCTTTGATGTAGCTTTTCTGATATGTTAATCTTAGGATGTTAATCTTAGGGCCAGGAAAGAGATCTCACCTGAAGGTGATAATGATAGCTGTCCTCCTGGCCATCCTTCTTATCATGTATATTGCTTGTTTATCACCTCCTAGGGTTGCCAGACGGCACTCCTTTGTAGTTCAGTTCTTTATTTACCCCAGAAGTGCATGCTTAATTAGCTTTTGTAGTTTAACTTTGTCCCCACGTGGGGTTTGTTGAAATGCTCAAAAGAAATCTGATTGGCTCAGGATGAAACGGTGAAATCAGCTATGATTAAATGGGCACAAGATGTTGGACATAATATAATGATGGCTGACTGGGAACAGTTATGGACCACAGGTATGAAATTTACGGCATGTAATGCCCTAAGAGAAAACTTAATGAAAATGATTTCTAGGTGGTACATGACACCAGTCAAGCTTGCAAAAATTTACCATTTGCCCAAAAATAAATGTTGGAAATGTAACGAGACTGAAGGCACATTCTTTCACCTTTGGTGGACATGCCCAAGGATTAAGACATTCTGGGAGATGATTTATAATGAAATGAAAAAGATATTCAAATATACCTTCCTGAAGAAACCAGAGGCCTTTCTCCTGGGCATGGTTGGCCAATTGGTGTTAAAGAAGGATAGAACTTTTTTTATATATGTAACAACAGCAGCAAGAATACTCATCGCGAAGTATTGGAAGACACAAGATTTGCCCACCCGGGAAGAATGGCAGATGAAGCTGATGGACTACATGGAACTGGCGGAAATGACTTGGCAGAGACCAGGGAGAAGAGTCGGTGGAAGAAGATTGGAAAAAGTTTAAAGGCTATCTACAGAAATATTGTAAAATTAATGAATGCTAGAAAAATGTTGGAATGAAGTTATATGGCTTTAGTAGAAATATTATAAGGAATTAAGTACAGATAGGTTAATAGAGCATTAAAGGAAAAAATAAGGTTAGAATGAGTTAAGATAATTATAGGATAGAAAACAGAGGAAAATGGAAAGGAATTGCTGAAATAATTAACAGAAGTGGAATACAAAAAGGGAGGTGTGAGGAGGTCGTGGAAATAAGTGAATGAAAGATGGGATAATGAAATTGTTTGATTTATTTTATTGTCTTTGTCTTGTTTTGTTAATTTGATGTGTTGTATTGTATTGTTTATCTTCTTTTTAGTGTTTAAGTTTTTGCAAAAATAATAAATATTATTTAAAAAAAAGAAAGAAATCTGATTGGTTCTTACAAACACTCTGTAAAAGGTTCTTGTGAATAAAAGGACCTGAGCCGGAGGGTGGAGAGAGAGATTATTATATGCACCCTTCCCAGAGTCTTGCTGGTTCAAGCCTCTGTGTGTATTCTTATTAATCAGAGTTCAATCCTTCCTTTGCTTTGGGAACGCCTCACTGTGTAAAACCAGCAACTGGCTTTGCCAATGGCCAGGAAGAATGAAGGCCAAGGGGGAGCTCTTTGCCCTCCCCTCCAACCAAAAAGAAATCCCTTTACAGCACATCACAGAAAGGGCCAAAAGGCTCTTGAGGCCAAAACCCAAGACCTCCAACCCACCCGACTGACCACCAATGCTTGGACTGCTCCTGTGAGGCCAGCTGGAAGGAGTTTCAGGTTTGGGGGAAAGGGCTTTCTGTTTGCCCAAGGCTTGCAGCTTTTAGTTTTTCAGTTTTGCATTTGCTTCTGAGTTTCATTGTTTTCCATCTGCAAATCGTTTGGTTCTTTCTATCTTTGGCTTCTTTTAATATTGCTTTTGTTGTTCTTGTGAAATTGTTAAATTGGAAGCCTCCTTGTAGATTCATGAAACCGAAAAGCAAAACAGATTTTTTTTAAAAAGCTGAATATAATAACTAGAGAGAGCAGGTGCCAGCCAGCTGCTTAGCAGGGAGGTGCCAGTCAAAAGGAGATGGCCAGGATGCTCTGCAAGGCACCAAGGTCTTGTCCACATTGGAGCATCATTCAGCTGCTATTCCATCCCGCCCCCATTCAAATTAGATGCAGAGCAATGCACACCTGCACATATTTGAATTTATATATGAGGAGCAACTTCCTCTTTCCTGTTCCCTTTTGGATCTGTCCCTGCCATCCGATGGCACAGATCGCAGAGCATGAGCCTTGCTTTTTAAAATAAAATTTCCCACCCAAGAAGTCTGCAAAAGCACGGAGCCAGCCTATTGTAACTTACTTGTGCAAGATTTGTGCAAGTCTGAGTGATACAAAAATATATGTACACACACATGATGTGATTATATATAAATGGCTGAGCTCCTGAAGTGCTCCTACTAGCAAACTGGGGGCGGAAGAGAATGAAAGCAATTATAAATTTTCAGCAAACGCTTTTCAGAACGCTGCCCAGTATATCGGGTGTATAGATTTCCAATGCGGTTTGCTTCTGCAATTTTCTGGTTTTGATCTGAGGGATCAAACAAAAAAGAATATTCCTTCCTTCCGGAAAGCACTGGAAATAGTTAAGAGCACAGCTGGAAAAGTCATGGGGAAGCAGCAGGCATGGAAAGGGGAGGAGCAGAACCGCCCACCCAGAAACACTGAAACAAATCGCTGGCGACCCCCAGCAGAGAGGTCTGGAGCCCAGTTTCCCCCTGACGTGTTGCATCTTCCCCATACGCAAGCATGGAGAACCTTGGGCCCTCCAGAAGGTACCCAACTAGAGCAAGTAAGGCCAATAGCCAGGGCTACTGATGGGAGTTGCTGGCCTCCGTCTAACTCGAGAGACAATGGAGTCTGCCTCCAGGGGTGAAGTCCAACCACTGTGTTAGCAGCACTGAAGTGACTTCCCTGGGGTGCAAGCCTGGGCTGTGTGTCTGGAGGTCCTGGGCTGCCCAGACGACAAGACCCCCCTCTCGGCATTGCAAAGGAAAGCAGAGCGAGACTTTGGCACCAACCTGGCTGCAGAAATTGCCCGAAGGAGGCGTACCAGGCACCACCCAACCGCCTTAGGGACTCCCCTTTGGTTTACTCCTGAGCCTTTTCTTCTTCCAAAGAGATCCCGGAAGGCAGTGGGGGTTTAGGACCAGAGTTTTCCTTCTCCTAGGTGGGCTTCCTTCCCAGGTAGACGAGCCCCTCACATCCCTCTTTAGTTCATGCAGAAACTGCCTTCTTGACCACTGGACCCCCTCCTGGTCTTGTTGATGGGAGCTGTAGTTCAGCAAAATATGGCGGGCCAAAGGTTCCCTATTCCTGCCGTATCAGGTAAACCCAAATTTCCAAGGGGAAAGCATTAAGCCTGGTATTGTTTGGCAGTAACATCATGTGAAGGACGCAAATTAAACTGGGACACATGCATCTGCAAACGCAGTGAGGACCAGCCCCATGTGAGCCCCACAAAGCACCGCATGCCTATTAGGCCGGCTGCTAGAAGCAGAAGCAGTTTTGCCGTCCACCACAGCTGTCTTCCCTGCAGGCAGGCAACATGGATTCCACATCCATTCAGAGCCCTCCCCAGGTATTTGCTGAGAGGTGCCAACCCAGACCAGGTGCCTCCCCAAGTCTGCCACCTGCTGATGACTCTGTGCCCCTTAAAAAAAGAAATATACCTCCAGCCACATTTTCTCTGCACTCCTGAGCAGAGACAACGGCACAAGGAATCTTTCTGCGTGAAGTGAGGTCTCTTTCTCTCAGAAAAAAGGGGTTTGGGGATCCCCTGTGCATAACATCCTAACTTGTTCTACTTATAATGCTTGTTTTTCCATCTCTGAAATCGCCTGAAGCCTAAACTAGAATGCATTTTTGTTGTTTCGGGGTTTTGTTTTGTTTTAATTAACTTGGGTTTAGGTTCTGTTTGTTCCTGAACATTTACGCCTCTTGCTTCAGGTCATTCCTGCAGCTGCCTGGGGGATTCCCAAGATCTGGCCCAGACCAGCCTCTGTGTTGCCCCTGCCTGGATCTTTGGGAGGAAAACAAGTGCGGCACATGAAAAGTGAAGCCCCAGCAGACAGGCTCCACACTGGTTTGGAACGTGTGCGTGGCTCTGCCGGATAAGCCCTGGCTTTGCGGCTGGCTCCCCTCACATAGGTGGCAAAGACTGGTTGGACAGCTTTGATGTTTACAGAATCGTAGCTAAGCTTTGTGCAAAAGCTTATTGTGGCCCAGAAACATACCTGGAGCCAGGTGAGGAGGACAGAAACCAGTTAAGGTGCAGAAGGGAAGTTCCCTGCTCTTAACAAGCTGAACTTGGACAAAGTTGGCAGGCTGGTCTGTGGCCGAGTTTGGTGGAGGGGCCGCCCTGGCACTCTGGCTCCCCTGCTCAGAATGGGCCACACTATCAGAACGAAAATTTAATCATGCCACACTGATTTTTCTTTTTTCCTGATAAGCAATGCATTGTAAAACAAAACGAAACAACTCCTGGCACTGCTCGATTTATAACACAGAACACAACTGCTTTATAATATGACTAAGGGACATCTAGGGACGCGGGTGGTGCTGTGGGTTAAACCACAGAGCCTAGGGCTTGCCGATCAAAAGGTCGGCGGTTCGAATCCCCGCAATGGGGTGAGCTCCCATTGCTCGGTCCCTGCTCCTGCCAACCTAGCAGTTCAAAAGCACATCAGAGTGCAAGTAGATCAATAGGTACCGCTCCAGCGGGAAGGTAAACGGCATTTCTGTGCGCTGCTCTGGTTCGCCAGAAGCGGCTTAGTCATGCTGGCCACATGACCCGGAAGCTGTACGCCGGCTCCCTCGGCCAATAAAGCGAGATGAGTGCCGCAATCCCAGAGTCATCCACAACTGGACCTAATGGTCAGGGGTCCCTTTACCTTTAAGGGACATCCAGGAAATATAAAACAATGCAGCTACATAAGAACATGAATTGTTCTCAAATACAATATTGGTTGTTCTTGAATCTTCCTGCCACACTCGCCCTCCTCTCCTGCCACACCCTTGGAGAACCCCTGGTCCAGGTGCATCAGAATCCCAGATTGTGGAATCTCCCGCCTGAGGGAGACGTGCCCCTTTCTGTCACATAATAAACAAACCTCTGGAGGGCACCGGGTTGGGGAGAACTCGTCTGGCCTTCAGCCATGCAGGTTTTATTTGTTTGCATACGACTACTGTCCGCCCAGGCCAAGGGGTCTAACCATCCAGTCACAAAATGATAAAACACCACAATGTTGTTTGCCTTGTAAAGCCCCAGCAAACAATAAAAAGCAGCAGACCTGTGATCCCTGCATTGCAGGGGTTGGACTAGATGACCCTTGGGGTCCCCTCCAATGGCTCCAGGACTTATTCTCCAACAGCAGCAAAAGGCAAAAATGCCAGATCCCTTTGCCTGCCCCTATGTGCCCCCTTTCTCTCCTGAGGGCATCATAAGAGCAGAGGGCAGGCCAGGTGGGCTTCTTCTTGCCCTATGGAGGGGCTTCCACTGAAGAGGCCCTGCTGCCCCCCCTTGCGCTCATTCACCCACTGCCCCTCAATGGACAGGACCTCTGATGTGGACCACAGCACATGGGAAGGGGCAGAGAGGAAAAAGCGGTCCTTAGGCTGCCCATTAGGTCCCAGTCTGCTAAAGGGAAGAACCAGCACCTTCCGTTGAGCCCCAAAATAAGCAGGGAATCCACAAAGAATGAACTGGATCTTCAAATAGGATCAGCTGTTTTCCAGCAAATGTGTGGCTGCGGCATTTGGACCTTTTTGCAGTTTCCAGAGGTGTTCAAGGGCTGCCCCACGGAGAGCAGATGACAGGAGTCTAGTCTGAAAGTACTTGATGCAGTATAACACCTGCTTGCTGTGTGTGTGTGTCTGTAGCAAGATCAGTTCACGTGGCCTGTCCTGCTTCCAGCTTTTCAGACTGGACTAAACCTAGCAGAGAAAGATAAGGGGCCAGGCTTACAAGGGGTGTGGGGAGCAGGATGCTGCCATGGCCTGCAAACTGAGCTGGGCCCCCCCTGTCGCTTGGCGCTGGGCTCCTTCCATGACCCTAACAAGGGCCTCCTCACGTGAGAGGGGGTTGTCGCCAAATAAGCTTTACTCAGAGGAGGCCCACTGAAATGAACAAACATGACTGATCTCAATAGGTCTGCTCTGAGCAACACTTCCCTAGGAGGCGAGGCTCAACTGATGGCCTCTGGGATGTTTTATTGCCTGTGAGATGCCAGCCGAGGTCCCTAATAATGCTCTGCTAATGAGATTTCATCCTCAGCCAGGCAGAAGAGCTTCCTGCATTTCAGGCCCAGGAGGAAACGAGAGGAAGGAATATCACGCACCCCCACCTGTCCTGCCCCCCCCCCTCCACTTGCATTCACTAGGGTGGCTGTTAGGCGGTAATTTTCTGAAGCACCAAAATTTTTGGTATACAGAAAGCTTATTCCTAACTTCAGAAGAATGGAGGCGGCTTGAAAGAGAAAGGAGATTCGGGGCTTCAAGTCCCCCCCCCACTGCCCCCCTTGCTCCCTGCAGCTGCAGCAGCACCCTGAGCTGGGGAGTTGGGACTGTGAGGAGGAAGGTCTTTCCCCCTTGCAGGGGGCTGCTGCTGCCCCCGCTGCCCTTGCCAGGTAGGTCAGAGCAGCAAGGAGAGCAGGGAGGCCCCATCCCCCCCATTTCTGACCATAACTGGCCTGCAGGCTTCCTGGCCCAAAGCACACCTCCCCCCCCCCCCCCGCAGAAGGCAGCTCCCCCTGGGCCAGAGGATGATAATTCCACAAATAAGCAGACCGTGGGGAGGACAGTTAAACGCTGCAACTGCAACTGTTGATGACACAGCGAATGCAAAAAATAACGGCTCATCAGAAATGTCCCAACTCAGTTGTAGCAGAAGCTGTTAAGGAGGAGGAAACAGGCACCAGGTTAAGAGGCACTTTTGGAAAATCTCCGGGTTCCTTGCCAAAACCTCCTGAGCAAACCTAGAGTCACAGGTTGAGAGGGCAGAACCATCCCTCCCCCCACCTATCTGTTTTTATTTATTAAACTTCCACATATATATTTCAAGGCAATGTACAATCGGCAATAAAAGCAACTCAAAATCAGCAGGAGAAAGGCAATGCAATGTGGCCTCCCGCCGTCCTTCTCTCGATACAAGGTCACCCCTCAAGGCAACCAAGGCTGATTCAGTTCCAACCCTGATCTCAACCCAGATCAAAATGAGTCAAGGAGGTCAGTTTCCTCCACAAATATCTGTGTTTGTGCCCCACGACCATCTCAAGGGCTCTGCCCCCAAAGGGGGTATTTGCAACAGGGTGGGAGTTGCTAAGACCATCGGGTGCAGGGTGGGTTTCCTCCAAGGAGGGGCCACCCTACCACCTCCTTCGGGGCAACAGGCACCCCACCCCCCTCAACACGGAAAGGCTCATCAACCCTAGTGATCTAAATCGATATATGAGAATATGCAGGAATGGTGGGAAAATTAAAGGGAAGGGAAGATGTTGAATATTTTTGTTAAAAGAAAGATATTAATGGTGGAAATATATTTTTGAAAGCGAATGTGATTTTGGAAATGGTAATAATGAAAAATGTAAATAAAATTTACAAAAAGAAAGAGAGGGTCTCCAACCTGTGACCCTCCATCACACCCAGCAGCAGCCAGGCCAGCTTCCATCAGCCAGGAAGGGCAGCGGTCAAGAGGGCACCTCGCTGGGCACAGACTCACAAGCACCCTCTCAAGGGTGGCGAAAACGGACCCCACAAACCGTGTCTGGATGGAGCAATGGAAACCTCACCAGGAGCTGCATCAAATGTGGCATCCGTTTCCCTAAGGAGGCAAACAACTTTGCCCCCCAAGTGCCCCGTGAGCAACTCCCAAGGGGTCTCTGAGGCGCCCCAGACTCCCTCCACCAACGTGGATCTCAACCGCCTACAGACCACCCTAGAGAGCTCTGCTGGGCAATTACTCAAGAGACGTGACGCAAGCCCCCGACACAACACCCAGCCCAGACTCAGCTGCAACAGGAGACCCCAAAGCACCCCTGGCAAGTGGCCCCCAGAGGGACCCCTGGGTGCACAACAACACGGCGCCACAACACGGCGCAAGGAGGGGCAGGGCCAGGGATGGTGGCTCACAGAAGCTCCTGCTGCCCTCGCCAAGGTCAACTCAGGAGAGCCGCTCACCCTCAGGGCCCCAATCCAGCAAGACCCCCTGATCTGGGCCTCCCAGCCTCAGCCCTCTCTACCTGCAATGCGGATGACGGCTCTCTCCGCAGGGTCCAGGACCGTCCCGTTGCCGGACGACGCCTTGGTCCTCTTGGTCCGCTGGTGCTTGGGGAGGTTCCAGGGCAGGGTGTCCCCCGGACTAGGAGAGCCCCCGCTGCTGCCGCTGGAGCTCTCCTCCGCCATCTTCGGCTTCTCCTTCCGGCGGGAAGAAGACATCACCTCCTGCAAGGCGGGGAGGAGCAGCGTCAGAGATGAAGAGACAGGGAGCAGCCTGGCCCCACCCTGGGCCCCCATTCTGCAGACTGGGGGGTCCCCGTGGCCAGAGCAAAGCAGCTTGTCCTGCAGGGAAGGCCTAGGAGCCCCCTCCCCCCCTCCTTGCGGAGCAGCTCTGCAGCCCAGACAATGGCCTCTGAGGATCTGCCTGTGGAGCCAGGTAGCTCAAGCCAGCCAGCCAAGCCGCATCCTGCAGCAGGGAGGGGAGCAAAGTCCTCATCCCAAGGGGGTCACTTGGCAACCTGGCGGGAGGGAGGGGGAATTCCTGGCCAGCCTCAGAAGCCTCCATCCGAAGACCCCCAGTGGGAGCCAAGCCGTCAGCCTCAACTCCCTGCTGCCTGTCCTGGCTCCCGGTGGGGCTGCTCAGGGGGAGCTCCCAGGAGGACAGCTAGCACCATCCTGCCCCACCACTTGGGGGTCACGATCCTCCAGGATAATCCTGGCGCTACCCAGAATCCCCCTGGCCTGAGAGGACATGTGACACCAGAGGGCCAATCCCGTGCCATGACCAGCTATGAAAGCTCTGCTTTTTGGGGGGCGATATAGACACCCCACCCCCAGGCACTCCCGAGCAGGTGACCTTCAGTACCCGGGGGGAAGCTGGGGGTGTCTGCATTCCTGGTGGGGTCCCAGGTTAGGGGGAAGTGCCTGGAGGTGGGGGGCGGGAGGGAGAACTTCTACCAGGTTGAAGGAGAAGCACTTGCCCCAAACAGCCCCTTGGGGACTATGAGGATTCAGAGCTGAGACACCCATGGCACTAACCACTGAACAACACTGCCAAAGGCTGAGGAAGCCCTGCCAAGGCCCGGTCTGCTGCACCCCCAGCCCCCAGCCTTGAGGAGTTCTGTGCTGCAATTCCTGGGGCTCACCTGGGCACGATGGGGGCCAGGAGCAAAAGCCCCCACCCAGAATGCCTCAGCACAACAGCAGTGGAGGGAGGTGGAGCCCCATCGTTTTGCAAATGGTTCTTTATGACCCTCCTAACTAGAGGCAAAAGTTGCTCCAGGGCCAGAGATTGTCTCCTGAAACATCCCCAGGTATCTTAAGCAAGCCAGCCAAGCCACACATTCCGGAAGAGGAGGGGAGAAAGGCAGACGTTTTTTGCACCCTTCCTTACCAGGAAGAGAAATGATAATTAGCCAAGCTCCAGGCATTAAACAAAGCCTTTCCCCTCTCCCAGTCTTTCCTCCCTGTCTCAGAAGAGAGATAAAAGTGAAACCACAACTCTCTCTGTAAAAACCGAGAACTCATGGAGCTCCAAGGAAGATGAGCCTGAGAAGAGTCGTGGCCTAGAAAAGAAAGCAGCATGAGGGTAAACTGTGGAACTCCCTGCCACAGAAGGCAGCCATAGCCACCAACCCAGATGCCTTAAAAGAGGACACGTTTATGGAGGGGAGGGCTATCCCTGCCTCCGCAGTTGCAGGCAGCACTGCCTCCCAACCTCATTGCTGGGAAGGGCAGCTGAGCAGAGGAGGCTTGTGAGCTTCTTCCCGTCTGGGCATCTGAGCTGCCCCTGGGAGAACAGGATGCTGGGCTCCGTGGGCCCCCGGCCTCATCCAGCACAGGAAGCCCTCTCTCTTTCCCAACCCAAGAGGCTCTCGTGGCCTCAAGCAAAGCAGCTGAGGTGCAAGCCCACCCAAGACCCCACGCCCCTTACGCACATGCACACACCCACACCCTCTGCACATAGACACTGGCACCCATGCATTGACAGGCACTCTCCCCCTTCAGAGCGCTCCCATGTGCATCCTTCCCCTGGCACACCCACCCATTCCCTGGTACAGGCTGGCCCGCGTGTGTGTGTGTGTCTCTATGGTCCTGCCACACAGCCAGGGGTTAGACTAGACAGCCCCTGGAGGACCCAAACTTTGGCTGCTGCAGGAGCACTTTGCTCTCCACCACCTGCCCCACCAGAGCTAGGAGCCCAGCCCCACCTGCCTCTCCCCTCGGCAGGCCCCACTTCCTCCATGCTGACTCACCCCCTGCTCTGGGGAAGGGGGCACACAGGTCCCAGAGTCTCTGGAGGACAGCTGCCACCAGCCGGGTCCCATTTTGGCCCAATGAAGGGGCACAGGCAGGACCAGGCGGGCAGAGAGATGGGCAGAGCCCCCTGGCTCAGGGCTGGAGCATCCTCAAGGACAGCTCTTCCAGGTCAGGGTAGGGAAAAGACACCCCCCCCCAGTGGGTCCACTGCTGCTGCCCATCAGTGTGGGGCCAGTTGTGGCCTGACTCTGTGCCCAAGGGAGCTCCTTCTGTCCCCAGGAGCCCAAGAGGCTCCCCCCATGTCCCGGTGGGGAGAGGGGGAAGACCTGGAGCCCGCCCCCCCCCCATTCCAGGGAAAGCGTGGCTAAGCACGGCCAGCCCTCTGGACCCTGTGAGATTTTGCTGCCTGCCTTCATCTCAGCAGCCAATTCCAGGCCCCTGAGGCTCCCCCTTCCCACCCTGGCACAGAATGCAGCCCCCTCTCAGGTGTACCCCCTTCACCCCAATTGCCTCTTGCACTGGGGAGCCTGACGTCAGGCTGCCTCTGCCAGGAAGTGGGGGGGGGTGGTTTAGCATCCTCCAGGGCGGCTGGGGGCTGAAGTGACAGTGCCAGCTCTGCCTCTACTTGGCACTTCGTGGTTGCCATGGACACAGCTTCCTGGGCACCAATAGGAAGATGGCAGGGGGGCACAAGCCCAGGTGAAATCAGGAGGCGCCCCACCCCCTGCCCCACACACCCCTCCTGCACAGGGGCTTCCCTGTGCCGTAAAGGCCTCTCTCCCCAAAGGGCTCAGCAAACTGGCCCCTTTCTGGCCTTTCCCCTGTGGATCCCACAGCCCCACTCACGCTTTCTCTGGGTCGCAAGGAGCTGCACGCTGCCCTAGAGAAGGACTGGGGAAGGGAGGAAGGCTGGCTGTGAGCAGGAGCTCCAGATCCCAGCTGGACTGCTTGGCCTCAGGGCCAGGAACCAGCCCAGCAGGCAGAGGCCCAGCTCCCCTAACCGGTTCCCGCCCCTGGGGGCCTGGCCTCTCCACCTTCTTCTCCCCACCCCCCAACTCCAGCACCCCCGGAGGCCTGGGAGGAAACCGCAGGGAGGGGGTGGGTGTCCAGGGAGCCCATGCCCCACAGCAGCACCCTCCCCCTGCCCAAGGGGCTCTGCCTGGAGAATGCACAGTGCCCCATGGATTCCGCTTTGCTTTGCCCACACAGCAGGGCCCGGAGTCTGCAGGGGGCGCCCAGCTCTGCCCCACTCTGCTCCCTGGGGACATCTGCTGCAGGCCAGGCCAGGCCAGCAGAGAACACAGACCGGCTCCCCACGACACCCACAGACAGGGCACAGTGGAAGCAGCAGCAGCAGAAGCCGGCCAGGGGAGGGAGGCACCGTCCTGGCATCCCTCGGCCCCTGAGCCTGGCACTCTCCTGCCGCATCTTAGGAAGGAAGGAGGGCAGGCGGGCAAGCCGGCAGACCCCCCAGCCCCGACCACTCACCGTCTCCGGGTGCGCGGGTGCGTCCTGCCCCTCTCCTGCCCACGAAGCATGTCTGCCTACCTTGCCAAGGCAGCCAGGAGAGCCGGCCGGGCATGGGCAGGGAGCAGCTGGCAGGCGGCAGGCGGCATGGGGAAGGGGCGACCCCGGCGGGGGCTCAGCGCCTGGCAGGCGTCACGCGGAGCCCGGCAGCAGCGCCGGCAGCGATAAGTTGGGCTCGCCTTAGCAACATGCAGCCGTTTTTGCGGCGCAGGCTCCGCCTCCCGCTCTGCCGAGCACTGCAGCTCCTGCAGGGTGTGTGCGCGCGTGTGTGTGTGCATGCGTGTGCGCGTGTGCGTGCGCGACAGAGCCGGCGAGTGTCTATCTCGCCTGCGCACCCGCCCAGCGCCGAGCGGCCGGGCCGGCTGAATTATTAACCAGGGCACAGGCTGGCAGCAGAACAGAGCCCATTCAGACCCGGACAATGGACGGAGCCCATCCGCCCGCCCCGCTGCCAGCCTCACAAAGACAGAGCGCCCTGGCAGCCGGACCCACGCCGGGGCCTGCCAAGCAGGGGGGCACAGCGCCCGTCCCTCCTCGCCTGCCCACCCCGAGGCCGTGATCCTGCCCCCAGGGTCCCTGGCCTGCTGGCAGGGGGGCACTGGGCGAGCCCCGCAGGCCTCCCCACTGGGACCCCCATCTCCCCCAGGGTGGGGCAGGCAAGGAATTCTGCACCTCTGCCAGGCAAGGGCAGCTCTCTGACCTCGGCTGGCCTGACCCACAAGCACAGGGATATCCGGGGCCTCTGAGCACACAATCCCGGGGCAATGTCGCCTTCCACGGGAAAACAAAACGAATAAATAGAGCGCGCACTTCGGGGAATATCGGGAGCCCCCTCTTCCCCCCTCCCCCTTCAGCCCCTGCTCATCCCGCTGGAAGATGTGGTTAGAGAAAAGTGACAGCAGCCCTGAGGGGGGGCCACGGAAAATAAAAGGAAGTTGGGGGTCCCGCACCCCATTTTCTCTGCCCTTGGGGAGCCCCACTCAGATCACACCACGCGGCTTCATTTGCACCCCAACCACCGCCCCCCCCCGGCCTTCCTGCTGTCCAATTCCTGATTCCCCTTTTGCCTGCCCTCCCACTGTGGGGCTGGGGGCACAGGACCCCCACCCTAGCTGCTATGCCCCGCTCTGAAGAGAGAAGCCCCGGCCTCGCCCGCACCCCATACAAACACACCCCACTGCTGCCCCCACATCTCCTGCTCGCCTTCCGCCAGGCGGAGACTGCAGGCAGCTGGGAGCCCCACCCTCGTTCCCCACAAGCCCAAGGAAACTCCGCGCCCCACCCAGGAGGAGCTCGGGCGAAGCCAAGAAGGCGCCGCTGCTCTCTGCCCCCCCAGCAATGCTCAAAAGGGAGCCGAGCCTCTCCCCCAGCGCGAAGCCTCTGCCGGTTGGAGAGACCGTCCGCTTGACCCTGTTCTTTGTGGGTAACATGGGGAGATTCGGGGGGGGGGTGACACTTGTGTTTTCCAAAGCCCGATTCACCCCCTGAGACACAATGTGCCACGTAGGCCGGGGAGCGGGGTTCTCTGCAAAGGGGGTGCCCAAAACGAAAGGAAGCCACCCATGGGAGTCACCCAGGGCAAAAAGGACCCAATCTTCCAGGCGCAGGACCCCCTCCCCGGGCAGCTACAGACCCCCAGCCCCTGGCTCCCCAGTGCTATTAAGAGCCGCGCAACAGTCAGGCATTCAACTGGTGCAGCCTCCAAAAGCCAGGAGACACACTGGTGGGGAAACAGCTGCTTAGTGCCTGCCTGTCACACCCCAGCTAAAAGTTCAGGAGCCCAACCCCCCCCCTAAGAAATAAAAGTGGCGGAAGAGGCTGCGAGGTCTTGGGCCTCTGCTTGTGAGCTGCTGGTCCAGGCTGTGCTAGAGTCCTTCCTGGGCACTCCACAAGCAGGTGGCAGGGAGTCCCGCAGGCCATAACAGCAAGCCCTGAAGCCTAGAGATGGGCAGAGGTCTTGGAAGCAGGCACTTTAGCCTAGTCCTACCTGGAGATGCCACGGGGGGGGGTATGAACCTGGGAGATGCTCTGCCACTCAGCTAGCTACTTCCCTCCCCTTATTTGTGGCCCTTATAAGAGCTGGTAAAGCCCAGAGGCAGGCAGGGGCCCTGTTACTGATGCAAAAGGGCTCCATGCAGCCAGGCAAGAGCTGGCCCTGGGAGCAGAGGAGCCCGTTCCATTGGAAGAAGGTGGCACCCACAGCTCCCCCCACCCACAGCCCCCAGTGCGCTACCTACAGGCCTCCTGAAGCAGCAGCAGCAGCAGCAGGAAGAGAACGCCAGGCAGCGGCGGGTGAAGGTCGGCTGCATGTGACCCCCCAGGATGGAGCCAGGGCCCCCAAGTGGCTCTTCGTGGGCAGCGTGGGTCTTGCCGAACGCAGCAAGCGGCCCAGGCTTAAATGGCAGGGGGCAGCGGGGGCGGAGGAGGAGCAGAGGAAAGGCCTCTTCCTGCCCACCCACCCGCGTGGTGCCTTGTCGATCTGGCACAGAGAACAAGGCCAGGCTGTCCGGAGCCACAGCAGCCCCACCCAAGGCCCCGGGGCAGGCGCTCAGCAAGGCTTCCTGGCGGACATTGCTTCATAGAACCAGAGAAGGGTAGAGCTGGACGGGACCCCAGTGGTCATCTAGACCACCCCCTGCAAGACAGGACTCGCAACGGAAGCATCCCTGGCAGATGGCCACCCAAACTCTGCTTAAAAGGAGGTTCCCCACAGCAGGGGAATGGCAGGCAGAAGGTCCCAGGTTCAGTCCCAAACAGCATCTCACCTACATTGTGGGGTTGGACTAGATGACCCTCAGGTCCCTTCCACCTACGGTTCTGTGATTCTTTTGTCTCCGAGTCGGGCTGGGAATGTCCCCTGCCCAAGACCCCAGAGAGCCATTTCTGCAGACAAAACTGAGCAAGGCGGACCAGTGGCAGCTTCCAGGCCCCCTGCCTCAAACCCTGGACTAGACAGACCAGCGGCCTGACTCTGTATAAGGCACCTTCTTCCTACGCTCCAGGGACAGAGACGGAGAAGTGCTGTTGGGAAATGGCAGCACCCACAGACGAATCCATGAAAGGATGAGTCCTAGGCAGGCGTCATCCTGTGGCACTCAGTGCCACAAGGCGGCTCCAGGGACTCAGCTACATTAGTAAGGAAACAACAATTTGGATGCGCTATAAACATGCAACACCAGATGTCGCCAGAGAGCAGGAAATTTTTATACCCATTTTTATATAGGGGTTTGTTTGTTTGTTGTTATAACCATCTAATTTCTGACTTATTTATAGTGGGGGTTTTCCCCTGTGTGTAGATCCACATCAGGAACTGTGTACATTGACCTACAGAGTTTCACAACTGGCCAAACAGCCCCAGCCCAGAGGAAGGGGTCAAAGTGTTCAGGCTCCGCTGCCAAACCCCCATGGCTTGCGCATGGGACAATTGTGGTGGGTCCCCCAGGAGAGACTCCTTAGGGAGCCGGGAGCATCTGTGCTCACCATCATCCCCCTCAGATAACAAGCCTCTTTGCATGCCTGTCTCTCAGAGGCAGGAGTGAAGTAGAAAAAGGAGCCTATGCAAGATCTGGGCCTCTTGGGTCCCCTCTTCTCCACCCTGGGATGCCCGGGGTCCTCAATGTGGCACATGTGGGCACCTTCTTGGCATCTGCCAAGCCACTCTGTCCCTCCCAGGTGTTTTATTTTTATTTTTATTATTATTATTATTATTATTATTATTATTATAGAAGGTGGCTTTCACATTCTTCACATTTATTTGTTTGGTTAGGGGGAGTTGCCTGCTTCGTTTGCTTTGAGTTGTGTTTGCTTTGAGTTGTGTTTATTCGTTAGAGAATATTAGGAGACCTTTTGCCTGTTGTGCTTTTCTGAAGGGGAATTCTGAGCACCAGATTCTCTTCTTTGAAATGAGAATTTTGCAGTATCCATGAAATTTGCGTAGATTTCGAAATAAGTTCAGAAAATTTTGGGGACCCCTCTGGTTTGCTCTGGTGCCCAGTTCTGCCCCCCCCCCCCGGCCTTTTGCCTCTCCAGGGATCGTAAACTCACTGGGAGAAACAGGGGGGGCCTCCCTCTCCCTTGGCACAGGTTGGAAAAGTGCTGCATGCATCCTTCACCCTCCGGCCATAGATTGATTGATTGATTGATTGATTGCATTTGTTTATTTCGCCCAGAAGCTCAAGGTGGCATATACATGGTTCTCCCCCTCCTCATTGAATCTGCACAGCAACAACCCTGTGAGGTAGAGCAAGCCGAGAGGCAGTGACTGGCCCAAGGTGGGCTTCATGGCTGAGTGGGGAGGACTTGAACCCAGGTCTCTCCCAACCCAACATGCCAACCATCACACGGCCACTGGCTCTCAAACAGGGTTTTGGAAGGGCTCATCCTGCAAGCCTCTCCCATCACACGCCTCATCTTCAGAGCTTGAATATTTTGCAATAGGAAGGCCAGTGGGAGCGGCCTCTTCTGCCCCTGAGCTACCTTTGCATCCCAAATGTTCAAAGCGGTTTGCAAATAACATTCAGCAATAAGTAACATATCCACCCACAATAAGCCCTTGAGCTGGATCAACATAAAACACACCTCTTCCTTCTCCTGGGAAAGAAGCAAGTCGAGGAGGGAGGAAGCTGAGCAGAATCTCTCCACCTGCCCCCTGAGGGCCCTCAGCTCCCAGGTGTCTCCCCCCCCCCCCCCGGGTTCTGGCCTGTGGCAAAAGGATCCAGCCAGGAGAAGTTCATGGTGGTGGCAGCAGCAGAGGCTCCTCAGAGTAGCCAGCCAGCACCTCCCATGCCAGGTGCAAGGCGGGTGGCACAGGGGGTGAGGGGCAGCTGGGCTGGGCCTGAGCAGCAGGTGCAAAGCAGGGAGAGGCACCCTCTGGGCTTCCACCTAGCCGGGCACACCCTGACCATCCTCACCTGCTGCTTTGTTGCTGCCAGGGGCGCAGAGTCCGGCCCAGAGGGTGCTGCCTGCTCCTTCCTCTGACTGGGTGGCAGCTTTCCCTTGGCACTCTTCTTCCGGCGCTTCTGGAGGTGGCAGACAAAAAGAGGGAGGTCTGGGGACCTGCAAGCAGCCCTGAGACGCAGGCGCACCCCCTGCCCTCCAGTGCCCCCAGGGGGCAGAGGCCAGAAGGGGCGCAGGGTGGCTGCGTGCCAGCCTGCCGTGGACGTCTTTCTCTTCCCTCTCCTCCTCCTCCTTCTGCAACCAAGAGCCTTCTGTTCTCGCTGGCATGGTGAGGAGGCGAAGTGAGTGCCCTTGTCAAGTGCCCAGACAATGGGGGCCTTGAGGGCTCCCTGCCTGCCCCCTATCACGTGAAGGAGGACCCTCCCCTGCCCCGCCTGCAGCCCCACAGCAGGGCAGCAGCAGGCTCCAAGATGCTTCGGGGAAGGTTTGGGGCTGGCAGGAGAGGCCACTGCCAACAGGGCCAGTGTGGGGGCCAGAAGGCAAGATTATGCTTATGACCCTGTCCATCTGGCTGGGTAAGGTGTGGGGCCCAGGGGTCTGCAGGAGAGGCTGCAAAGCCTGAGGGTCAGGGGAGCCCCAGCAGGGAGCTCTAGGGTGGGCTGGGGGAGCAGACCCAGGCCTGGACTCACCTCGGAGGTTGTCTGGGACTTGCTTCCTCCCAGCTGCTGACCTGGGGGGAGAGAGTGGGGGGCAGAGAGTTAGGCCAGCAGTGAAGAGAAAAGAGAACACCCCACTCCAAGCCAGAGGGCAGGATGGAAGCCAGAGCAGGCTGGATCAGGCCCGTGGCCCAGCAAGCCCAGTATCCTGTTCTCACAGTGGCTGTGCAGTTGCCCATAATGGGAAGCGGGGCAAGCAGGATTGGAACCCAGACCCCGCCGTTTCCAGCAACTGAGATTCAGAAGCAACACTTCCTCCAGATGTGAAGAAAGAGGAGGGGGCTCAGGACTGGCACCCCTCTCAGGTGGGCCTTTCCTTGGCTCCTTGTCTTGGCTTCGTGGCTGTTGCCCTGCGCCCAGTTCCCAGGAGGCCCAAATAACAGACACAGAGAAAGGAGAGGGACAAGGTGCTCCTTGATTATCCACCAAAGCAGCCTGCGGAACAGAAGGCCACAGGAAATCAGCTGCCACCTCAGGAAGGCCTCAGAAATGGGGCCAAGGCGGTTGCTCTTCTGGATTCTGCTCCAGAATACTTCCTCTGAAACCGACACAACCTCGTTTGCTCCTGTGCTTCCCCATAAACCACCCCAGACATCTTTAATAAAGGGCAGTAGAAATTGCCTAGAGGGCCCATCTAGTCCGGCATCCTGTTCCCACAGCGGCCAACAAGATTCCCCACAGGCAGCGGGGGTGGTGGCACCCTCAAGATGGGTGGGGGCTCAGCCCCCTGACCCGAAATATTGAAGGGACTGAAGCCCCTTCTCCCCCTATCACCAGCACCCTGCTAGTAGCCTTCAATAGCCCTCTCCTCCATGAATTTGTCTCATAATCCTTTAGTGCACCGTTAAACTATGGAACTCACTCCCACTTGAGCGCTTGTGCTTGAATCCTGCTTGCATCGGTGAGAACAGGAGGCTGGACAAGATGGGACATTGGCCTGATCCAGCCGGCTCTTGTGATGTTCTTACGGGTCCAGAGGGCCATTCCCCATGACCCCAAGGTCTCATTCCTGGTCGATCACCCCCTTCAGAGCCCGTGAGAGTATTTGAATTCTCACGTGCCTCACTTTACGCTCTCTTGCATGGACTCACATTTGCTGTTTGGATGACCATTCTGTCTCTGTGTTGCTCTGCATCAACATCGAGTTTTGACCTTGGATGAACTAACCCAAAATGCCTTCCAAATTGCAATGTTGGGAGTGGGGGCAGGAGGCAGAGAGGAACCAAGACAAGCCCTTCCGCATCTGGGCCAGAGGTCCATTGGGCGCAGCCTCGTGTTCCCACAGGGGCCTCTTCTGCCTCTCGCTCCTCAGAAATCATCTTAAGCCGGCTGCATGCTTTAAGCCAGCAAATAATGGGAATAATAATAAGAATAATCATAATAATAATAAGCCACAGCCCTTATTTTCCTGAAGGAGAGACACTGGCAAAAGGTCAAAGGAGGGAGAAGATCGCTGCATTAGCTGGGGCATTATGGGACGGCAGCGTGGTCCAGTGAGGTGAGCCACTGAAAAGTTGTGGCTAAAGACATGTCTGTGAAATGGGCGCAGCAGCGATGCTACATGTTAGACCAGCGCAGGGAGCCAAGCCTCCAAGCCCTTTGGAGTCAGGAAGGACTGGGGGAGAACCTTGCTCACAGGAACTGCCTTGCAGGGGCAAAGGAAGGGCAGAGGGAGTGTGCCCCATATTGCCCACCCCCCAGTTCACTTTGAAGGGAGATAAATAAATGCATCGCATCCAAGTATTATGATAAATAAGACCCCCTCCAAAGCTGCAACAGACACCCCCAAAAATGGTCTCGAGGCCCCGCAGCCCTCTGCCTCCTGCTGCCCCTCCATCTGCCCCCCTGCAAGCGAGAGGAGGGGGTCAGGCCCAGAGCATCTCCCTCCCTCCTGCAGCCCCTTGGAAGGGCTCGCCTGCCTGGCAAGGATGCCCTGCGTGCCCACAGGGGGCTGGGTGGGCGGCCCCAGCACCTACCTGTCCAGAGACTGGGGGGCTGGCGTCCCCGCAGGGAGCAGAGCAGGAAGAGAGCCCAGACTCCCAGGGAGCCCAGCACCAGGGAAGCTACCCAGGCCACGCGCAGCCAGGCAGGATCGCTCAGTGCCCACGGGCTCAGGGAGGCCATACTCAGCCCGCCGTGCCACGCCAGCCGCTGCCTTTGGTGGAGAGGGAGGGAGGAAGGAAGGAGGGTGTGCCGGCAGCAGCAGCAGCAGCAGCGGCCCCGTTAACCCTCGCCGGCCTGTCCGCGGCCCAGATGGGTTCCAGATGTGCAAGGCCCCATCCGCTGCCTCCCTCCCCACAGCTGGGCCGCTCCTGGTGAGTCAGACGGGCAGGGCAGGCTCTTAACCCTCAGTGGGAACACAGGACCGGCCAGGGCTGACAGGGCCAGAGGAGTCCTGAGGGGGCACAGAGGACTCCCTTCTCCTCCCCACACCCCTGGAAGTGGAGGACAACAACTTCAGGGCTTTGTGCTGTCAATCAAAGGGCTTTTGAGGAGGAGGAAAGCGGGTCTCTGGCCCCAGGCCTGGCTCATATACAAGCATAGCTTATTGCCCCCCTTCCCTAGTTGCTCCAATGCCCCCCTCCCCCAGCGGGGGGCTCTGCCAAGAAGGGCCTGGGAGTGTCAGAGCCCCCTCCGGGGCAAGACTTTCAGCTCCAGCTGAGGGCCAAGGAGGCATTTTGTGCTCCTTTTGAGTTGGAGAGGCCACCTTTCAGGGATGCTTTAGTTGCGGTTCCTGCATTGCCGCGGGTTGGGCTAGATGACCCCTGGGGTCCCTTCCAGCTCTACAGTTCTGTGATTCTATGATTTATTCTGATCGTCCTCCTCCTCCCCCCTTTCTTTTCAGCTGCCTCTAGATTCAGCTTTTTAAACTCAAGCAAGATGTATTTTTGGAAACGAAGGGTGGGCTGACTCATGTTGCCTCTGACGCTCTGTTCTGCCTTCACCCAGAAAGCGGGGCAGCCCCAGTCCCCACGGAGGCCCCTGTGGCTTCCCCGGCTGGGACCCTGGAAGCACGTCCCGGAGGCAGGAGGGGCTGTGGGGCACCCCCAAGGGAAGGGCAGCCTTTGCCACATGGCATCATGCACACACAGCATCAGAAGAGGCTGCTGGATCAGGCCACGTGGGCCCCACCGAGCGCAGCCTCCTGTTCTCACAGTGGCCAGCCAGAAGCACCAGCGGGAACTCATGCACAGGATCCGAGCACAAGAGCAGCCGCAGCCGGGATTCAGAAGCAGGGCTGCCTCCAGATGTGGAAGCAGAGCAGAGCCATCAGGGCCGGCAGCCGTCCTTGGTAGCGCCCCCCCCCATGACAGGAGATGGTGGCATTTGGGGATCCTTCCTCTGCAGATCAGCACAGCCTGTCAAGGGAAATGCTCAGCTCAAGTTCCCTTCTGGACATTTCTGCAGGCAGGATTCATCACCCGCCTTTTGAGGGCTCCAACTTGCCAGCGCAAACTGGGCCCCTGGATTCTGCAGCACAATTATTATTATTATTATTATTATTATTATTATTATTATTATCTTGTTCCCCACCCAGCCTCTCTGAACAGGTTATATCTATTTGCTTCACAAGGAGCCCAGGGGCCCCATAGTGGGTCCAAAAGAAAAGGCTTCCCTGTTTAGGGAAGTTTTTAATGTTTGAAGTTTTATTCTGCTTTTAATCCTCTGTTGGGAGGTGTTCAGAGTGGCTGGGGAAACTCAGCCAGGTGGGCGGGGTATAAATAAAATAAAAATAATAATAATAATAATAATCTCCCTGCCTCGCCCTTCCGTGAACCACTTCCCATTTCACCAAAATCAGTTGGACCCCTGAGCCAGGACTCCTTGTGGGCAACTGAGACAGGCCAAGATCTATAGCTGGAGGGCAGCATCCCACCCCCTGGCTGGAAGCAGCTGCCCTGGGGGGAAAGGAGTCCAGCAGCAGCAAGCAAGCAGCCCAGTTTCATCAGCTGAGCTGCTCCCCGGCCCCCTATCCCCCCCCCAGAGGCCACCAGTGCTACCTACCCTGGGAGGAAGAGGAGTCGAGAGGCAAGGCGGTCTTCTTGGAGTTTTCTAGCACCCAGATTTGAACTGTGAGGTGCCTCACAGCAGGAGACTTGTCTGCTTGGGAGTGGGAGTCATTGTGTGCCTTCTCCTCCCTCCCCACCCTTTTCCCTTTTGTGCTGTATCTTTTAGACTGTAGGCATAAGGGGGGGGGCAGGACTGCCTTTTTACCAATCTTGGGGGGGCTGCTCTGGGAGCCTTTTTTTTTTTTTTTTGCTGAAAAGTGGGATGCAAATTGCTTCAATAAATAAAATTTCAAAAATACCTTCAGCTGGGGATGTCACAACGTGAAAAACAGCACCAGAGGCTGTTATGCAATCTCTCTGGTGACGCAGAAGTCTTTGGGGGGAAATGAGGAAGGAGAATGGAAGAGGCCTCTGAACTAGCAGCCAGCCTTGCTCTGCTGAGCGCCTCTCTCTTCTGCCCGGAGAGAACCTCCACAGGGATGGCCTGGCCAGGATCCAGAGCGAGCGAGCGGACAGGCTCAGGCAGCACATGCGAAGTGTGGGGAGGGCAGAGGGGGCCCCAGCCCCCATTCCCTCTCAGCTCACCAGCCCCTGCCCTCTGCTGCAGGACAGGCAGGCCTGGGGGGGGGCACGGTTGTGTTGGTGTCTCTACATGGACTGGGGGGGGGGCTTTGCCTCCAAAGGTCTTCCTCCAAAGTGGGTCCAGCTAGCGCAGCCTCTTCTGGGAAGATCCAAGCAGAACCTGGGTGCAACAGGTCAACCTGTCCTTGTGATTCCCAGGATCCGATATTCAGAGGCCTCCTGCGACTGCCCTTGTGGCCCTTGGCTAGGGACAGCCCCATCGCCCCTTAATTTAGGACATGCTGGCACCAGCCCCGTTGGCAGACCTGTTCTGTGCTCCAAAGATGTCTGCAAAGGTGACATGAAGGCTGGCAACGTGCACCTCACTGTGTGGGAACCTCTTCCAGGGGACCGCAGCACCTAGTCAGGTCCTGCATCCACAGCAATGACTAGAGGAGGAATGGCCGCTGGGAGGAGTGCAAAGAGAAGAAATGCCCCCTGGCATCTGCAGCAGCACAACCAGATGCCCTTGTCTGCCCTGGCTGCAACAGAACATGTCTCATCGGTCTCTACAGCCCCAGCAACCTTCCAGCAGTCTGACTTCACCCCCAAAGGCGCCTCCTCCCCTGTTTCCCAAGACACAGATACCAACCAACTTTTTAAATGCCACCCAAGTCAGTGGCCATCTCTGCCTCCTTCCTGCAGGAGCTGTGAGAGAGGGAGAAAAACTTGTCTCCCTCCACTTTCTTCAGGCTAAGGAATAGTTTGAAACTTCTGCCTCTAACGCCTCTTTCCTCTAAACTAAAAAGCCTCAAGTGCTGCAACTTCCTTCATAGCAGAGCTGCTCCCAAACCCTGGGACATTTTGGCTGCCCTTTGCGGAACCTCTTCCAATTCTTCAATATCCTTTTTGAGGCGAGGCGCCCAGAACGGGACGCAGTGTTCCAAATTCGCTCTAGACTTGTATAGCAGAATTGCCATACGGACAGTTTTGTTTTCGGATCCTTGCAAAGAATTCGCCTTTCCTTTGAGGTCCACCCACTCCTGGTTAGCTGGGGCAGCCGGCTGCTTGGCGAGAGAAGCCCCCACCCTGCTGGGCTCCCAAGGGGGGGGGGAGAGAAAGGCTGGAGGGCCCGAGGAGGGAGAGGCGGGGGCTGCCCCACGTGGCTGGGGGGCATGCAAGATCTCCTGGTGGGCACTGCAGCTGCCTAGCAGTTTCTGAAAACATCTGGAGTACCAAACTGAGGGAGGGGCTGGTTATATTCCCCTGTGACGCAGTGATTGACAGGGACTGCTGTGGGCAGGCTCCCTGCATGGCCGGGGTTGGACTAGATGACCCGCGGGGTCCCTTCCAACTCTCCAGTCCTCCGAGTCTCGGATTCCTGGCTTCTTTCCCCAAAGAGGCTCCCGCCCCGCCCTTTTCCCCTGGGTGGGCGGGGCTGCCGGGAAAGTGCGGGGGGGAGGGGCGAGGGCGCGCGCCCGATTCGGAAAGCGAAAGTGATCCTGGCCTCCCGCGGCGCGGCTGCTGCTGCCACCTCGAGGCCGAGCCAGGAAGCGCAGCAGCCCGCCAGGAGGAGCCGCCTCCGGCCCGGGGTGGCCCGACTGGCCCCCGCTCGGCTCCCAGGGCGGGGAGGGGGCAAAAGGGAGCAAGTGGAGGAGGATCGCGACGGGGGGGGCGCTTTCTGGGATGGGAGGGGCCTTGGGGTGCCCCGCAGCCTGGTGCCCGCTGGTGGTGCGCCAGGGTGCACCCACCCTGGACGGGCAAGCCTGGGGCGACGTGGGCCGAGGAGCCTCGCAGCGGGAGGAAGGGATCGCGCGCAAGCAGCAGGGGAGACGGAGCGGGGCTTCGAGCCGCGCCCTTGGCGAAGGGAGGCGGGGAGCCCCGGAGCTGCCTGCCAGAGCCAGGCGCTTTGGAAAGAGAGTCCAGGAGCCCTCCGCCAAACGCGGCTTTGCAGCGCAGCCCCTTCTCACCCCGGGTGGGGGGCTGCCTGTCTTGGGGGTGGCGTGGGCCGCGAGGGCCATTTGCACCTGCGGGAGGTGAGAGAGACGAGTTAGAGCCCTCCCATTTTGGTCCAGTCTCTTGCACACTTGGGCGGGGGCTGCGCTGCCTGGACACCTCCGTGAGTTTCTTGGGTGGAAAGTGAGATAAAGTTGTACAGTACATGTAATAAAAACAACGTAAAAAGCAGAGACATCACCTTGCCAACAAAGGTCCGTATAGTAGAAGCTCTGGTTTCCCCAGTCGTGATGTATGGAAGTGAGAGCTGGACCATAAAGAAGGCTGATCCCCGAAGAATTGATGCTTTTGAATTCTGGTGCTGGAGGAGACTCTTGAGGGTCCCATGGACTGCAAGAAGATCAAACGCATCCATTCTGAAGGAAATCAGCCCTGAGTGCTCACTGGAAGGACAGATCCTGAAGCTGAGGCTCCAAGACTTTGGCCACCTCATGAGAAGAGAAGACTCCCTGGAAAAGACGCTGATGCTGGGAAAGATGGAGGGCACAAGGAGAAGGGGACGACAGAGGACGAGATGGTGGGACAGTGTTCTTGAAGCTACCAGCATGAGTTTGACCAAACTGCGGGAGGAAGACAGGAGTGCCTGGCGTGCTCTGGCCCATGGGGTCGCGAAGAGGCGGACACGACTAAATGACTAAACAACAACAGCAACAACATGTAGGAAAGCAGTCCAGAAGCTTCAGCCACGAGGAACCACAATGGACAGGTGCGCATTGCTGCAAAGGCATCGCCCCTCTTTGCATCTGCTCCCCGTTTGCCTCCGGCCCCATATCGAGGCTGCAGACCCTTCAAGCAGCAGCTGAGAAGCCTTCAGCCCATCCACGATGGCTGGACTGCAAGTCCTATGACCCCAGACCACTGGGCATGCTGGCTGCGAGAGTCCAGGAACATCTGGAGGACCCCACCCCACTTGGAAGTTTTCCGGGGGTCTGGTGTGTCTCAGGGGTCTCTTTCTGCCCCTCCACATCCAGGGCCCAAAGACCAGGAGAGGCAAAAGGGCTTTCCTGAGAAAGTCCCCTCCTCTTTTCAGAAAAAGAAGACAAAAGAGGGGGTGTTTTTATGGCAAAAGGCCTTCAGCTTACTGGAATCAAATGGAGGCAATTCTCAAATTTCTTTACTGGCCCTTACATTGCAATGCTTTGCAGATTATTGTCATTGATTTATATTTTGACTGCAGACAAAGATGGCTGGAATTGGACGTTTCCACAGTAGCAAAGGCCTGATGTCCCTGCAGAAGAAGCTCTCCCTGGAGGGAGATGTGGAAGCTGAGAAGCAGCTGGGCATGGACTGGAAGCGTGGCTGCCCAAGGGGGGCTCTCCTCCCAAACTCTGCTGCCCCCACAGGGCTTTGTTGTGCTCCCCACCTTCTGTTCCCTCCTGCTTGGAGTAAGTTGGCAGCCACTAAGTTTGTAGGTAGCGGTGCCCCCCACTCAGAGGCTGGCATGGTTGGCCCCTGTCAAGGGCGCAGGCCCAGAGGGTTTGCCAAGGGAACAAGGGAGCCGACGTACGTCTATGCTTAAGGTTGAGGCGCCTCTCCTGGACCCCATCTTTTCAGGCTCAGTACCCGGGGGGGGGGGAGTTTCACAGAGACTCCTGGAGACAACAACTCACCCCCCTTTGGGTGTTCCATTCTGGGGGGGCATTTCAGAGCAGCAGAGGCGCTGGGAGCCAAGTTCATCTGGGGCGAAGAATGAGCACAGCTCCCCCTGCATCCCCCCCCCCCCGTTTCGGACATGCTGTGCTTGGGGGGTGGGGAGAGGCCTTTGCATCCAAGACTTGGGGCACCATCAGAGGCCAAGTTGTTAACAAGCTCCCATTGTCCTTTCTTCCTATAAGAAGTTGGCGTGTGGAGCTGCCTGGCAAGAAAGTGAAACCACATTGGCTTAGGTGCCCCTTCCCCCCAGTGCCCAGCCGCTGCCAGTTGGCTCAGGAGGGAGCTTGGCCTCTGGGGGCCCTGAGCAAGTGGCCCCCTCGTGGGCTCTGCAAGGCCACAGCAGAACAGACCGGCCAGCCCCAAAGCCCAAGCCTGGCTGGACTGAGGGTGAGCATTTCTGCCATGTGGGGAGAAACTGTCCCAACTGGTTTGGTACCTTATTCTGCGTATACTCAAGGGCAAAATAGTGGTTGGCAGCATCAGGTGTCAGTTGCAAAATCCTGGGACTGAATATTCAGCCACAGAAGTGGGCATTTTTGCAAAGCTCTGCTTTTCACATCCTATGAAGGCTCCCACCACCCAGTGACCTGGCGTGCGCATGAGGCATCGGGAGCACCATTGAGCCAGGGCCACCCCGATCTTGCCTGGCACAACTTCTGCTACAGCACAGGGTGGGGCGCACACTCCTTGCCCTCCCCCCCAGTAGCAGCGCCACCACCCCTGGCTGGTTTTAGAAGGGCTGCAGCACACAAAGGGTTAAGCCCCAGGCTCCCGGCCGCTCCCTCCTCTGCATGGAAAAACTGCCTCAAACCAACCCTTTTTATTACATGAAAAGCAGCTTCTGCTCCCAAACCGCAGCCCTGGCACCGCCCCATAGCGGCCCCTTTGATCTGGTGGGGCAGCAGCTTCCAGGGAACAGGAGGAGGGGGCAGGACCCCCCAGGGAGGGAGAAAGGGCCCTTATCCGCACCCCACCACGTGCATTGAATTGGAGGGAGAGGCAGCTGAAGGATTTTTTGCAGGGGGAGTGTTGTACTCAAGCTGAAGTCCCCCCCCCAGAGGCCTTTGGCCCATCATGGGTCTCTCCCCCCCCCCAACCAAAGTTTGTGATGCCCCCTGCCCGCCTGGGGTGGCCCCCTCCTCTCCCCACAGCACCCATAAAAAGCCACAGGTCACCCTGTGAGCCCATCACTAAGCTGGCGGGGGGGGGCTCTGCCTCATAAACACCTGGAAAATGCTTCCTTTGCACTGGGGGCAACAGAGCCCTGTTGGCCCCCTCCCACAAGGCTTTCTCCTCCCATTACCTCCAAGGCTCAGATCCATTTTCTCCAGAGAGAAAAAAGACCTCAAAACATCTGATCTGTCAGAGCAAACACACAAACAACACACACACAGACTTTCACCAGCAACACAGTTGTTTTTCTGCTGCTTGGAACATTCTGCCCCCCCCTCTCATGTTCCCCAAGCAATGAGCAATCGGGGAAGAATGGGCCCCGGGGAGCTGGCGCTTCCTGAAGCAGCCACACAAAGGGCCGGAAATGCCTCTTGTGCAGGAACTGCCAGCTTCCCTGCCACCCCCCCCCAGCCCTGCCCCAAAGCAGCCAGCTTCCACACCCCTCTCTGGCATCAACCGGCCAAGGTGGGTGTGACAAGAGCACCCCCTTGTGGTGCGCGAAGGAACGGGAAACTCCTGCTGGCCAGAGAAGGTGCCCAGTTCAGCTCTGCAGCGCCAGGAGGGAGGAGCCCCCAGCCCCACGGCTTAAACAAGTGCTGCCCCAGGCCCAGGAGGAAGCTCAGGAGAAGAGCCTGCTGGATCAGGCCCAGGGCCCATCCAGTCCAGCCTCCTCTTCTCACGGGGGCCAAGCAGGTGCCCATGACGGGGAGCCTGCAAGCAGGATTCAAACACAGAGCCCCCTCTCATCCTGTGGCTTCTGATCTCCCTCTGAAACCATCCAAGTCGGGGGCCATCACTCGTCTCCTGGGAGGGCAAGTTCCCTAGTTTGAGTTCTTCTGTTCACACTCTGTAGTAACGGAAAAAGCTTTCTCTCTTTCTGTGGTCTCTGTCTGAGGCCAAGCAGAGCCAGGAGGACAGCCTTCCCTGGTCAGATTATGCTCCCGGAAAACCAAAACTGATGAGGAACAGCGGAGGGAGTTGGGGATGTTTAGCCTGAAGAGGGCGAGGAGATATTAGAGATGGAGATAGCTTGTTTTCTTTTGTTCTGGAGTGTTACGGAAATTACGGGGGGGGGGGGCACATCTTTAAATTTGTTAAATGTTACAAATATTATGCATAAATGACTTGACAGCTCAGGGTAGTTACCTAGCTTTAAAAATCACATACAACCAACTCCTTTGCCAGTTTCCTTCATTTCACCAATTTGCTTCCTTGGCCAAGGACTTGGAAACCACTCGGTCCCGCCATAATCCTCAAGCAGGAGGTCACATGCTCACAGGAAGGGACTCCTAGGAGGTGGCAGACTATGCAAACCCAAGTTCTATTGTCCTTTGTAGTAGGTGCTTAGAATGTACTTCCCAATACATATCCTGTATCCCCAACACATTCCTCCTATGTTAATCATGTATGACCCACCCCTTTTCTGATGCAGCAATGTTGCTGTATGCACTGTATTCTGGGATATGGTGGGAAAGTTTTAAAAGTCCTTGTCACCCCATTCTTGGGGTTCAAATTTCTTCTTTGAACTTGTTGCGCAATAAACTTTGGTCTACAGCTATTTGCTCCAGTTGGTGGCTGGACTCCTTCCTTTATTCCGCAGGGACCCGCAGGCTCTGTCTGCTGAGCTGAGCAGACTCGCGCCTAGATTTTTCTGTAACAGGAGGGAAGGACTCGAACCCATGGCTTCAAATTACAAGAAAGGAGATCCTGACTGAACGTCTGAAAGGACTTTTCTGAGGACAAGAACTGTTCAGCAGTGGAGGCCTCTCACAGGAGGCGGTGGACTCTGTTTCTAAACAGAGATGGGCTGGCCATCCGTCAGGGATAATCGAGCTGCAATTCCTGCATTGCAGGGGGTTGGACTAGATGGGCCCTGGGGTCCCTTCGAGCTCCACAGTTCTCCGATTCCTCTCCCCTCCAGGCTACTCTCAGGCTGCAGGAGGGAGGGAAGCCAGATTCAAAGGCTGGAACAAGAATCGAAGAAGAGAGGACATGCGCCAACGGGGCAAAGTTGCCTGCAGGGCGCTGGGCTTGCCTGGGGCAAAGGCACAGAGGCAGCCCATCTCCCCTGCCCCCCAGCCCCACCCAACCGGCCCATGGATCCTGCCCAGAACCTGCAGAGCCTGAGACTCTCCCAGCCAGGCTGGTCTCTGCTGCTCTTGCCAAGCCAAGGAGCAAAGGAGGGGGGTGGAGGGGGCCCCCCCCAAAAAAACACCCCCCCCAAGCAAGACAGGCCCTGCTTCAACTTTTCCTTGTGTGCCTTTTAATGCATGGCTTCTCCATCCTTCAAACCACCCCCAACGTGATGCCCCAAGTAGGTGGCAGCAGAATCAGCAGCCCCCCGCCACAAAAAGAGGTAATATGTTGAAAGCAGGGTCCGTAGCAGATCCAGTCTGAACCAAGGCTGGTGCCCAGTGGAGTCTTGCTGTCTCTGCCCCCTCAGGAAGGCCCAAATCAGACAGTCTGGCCACCGGCATCCTTGCCCACCCCCTTGCTCAGTTTTGCCTGGCAGCCCTGGGGGAGAGGGGAACAGCAGCCCCCCCCCTGCCCCCCTCAGGGCTGCTTGGACCAGCGGCAGGTGATGAGGTGCTGAGGATACGCCTGAGTGTCGTTGAAGATGACAAAGACGCCTGGGTTGCGGAGGTTGTCCACGGTGCTGTCGTAGCGCCGCGGCACGGCGTCCCCTTCCCGCAGGGGCGGCGCCCGCATGCTCGGGTTGCCCAGCGCATAGTCCCCGGTCAGCGTCCGCGTCACAAAGATGTACTTGTTGCCGTCGCTGCTGGCGGGGGAGTACATCTCCTGCACGGAGACGACGGCCTTGACGGCAAAGTAGACCCCGTGGCCGTAGCGTGTGGCTGGAGGGACAAGGAGGAAGGGAGAGGGGGCTGGGGTCAGGAAATGGGACGCAGGCAGTGTAGGACCCCTTGGCTCTTCCTGAGGTCTCCCCCAGCCCCAAAGCACCTCCTGCAAGCTGCCTAACGCCTGCAAGGCTTGGGGAGTTCCAGAGCAGCAGGCAAAGGACCTGCAGTTCCCCCTGTGTCCACCTGGGGGCTCTGCTCCGAACAATTCTCCAAGGAGGGACAAGCCTTGCTGTTTTCCAAAGCATGGCTGGTGAAGAACCCTCACCTGCTGGGTCAGTCCAAAAGTCACCAGGACAGTAGTGTTCTCACATGCCCCTTATAGGGAACCTTCCAGCAGGATCCGTGCCCAAGAGGAACTTTTCCCTCCTGTGGTTCCCAGCAAGCATTGCTGCCTCCAGCCGTGGAGACAGAGCATATCCATCCTGGCTAGCAGCCACTGCAAGCCCCCTCCTCCGTGAATCTATCAAACCCTCTTGCAATGCCAAACTTTCAAAGCTAAACCTTCCCTCTGTTTATTATATACTTAGTTTCTTTCTTACATTTATAGACCATGTTTTTTCTACCAAGGATCTCAAGGGGGTTTTAATGTTTCCTCTTCTCCTCCCCATCTCATCCTCACAACCCTGTGAGGTCGGTTAGGCTAAGACGGGGGTCGGCAAACTACGGACCACGGGCCAAATCCAGCCCAATTGCCCTCAGGATCTGGCCCGTGGACGTTCTGTGGATCGGCAATTCTGTTTGTTTGTTTTTCGGTGTCATTTTTTTCCTGGCACTCTTTCCCCCCCTGCCTCTCACACACCGCAGTGCCTCCTCCCTCCCTTCTCCTGACTTCTCCCCGCCCTGTGCAGAGGAGGAAGGGGGCTGAGCTGAGCTGAGCTGGTTGAGCGCCATTTTGGGCAGCGCCTCTCTGGAGCCAGCCAGCACTTTCGGGCCACTCATCCCTCTGCCGCTCGCAAGGGCAGGCACAGGAGCTGCGGTTGGGAGAGCACAGCGCCGACGGCAGCAGCATAGGGAGGCAGGGGGAGGGGAGGGGCTGGGGGAGAGAGAGAAGCTTCCTCTGCCCCACACGCGTGGGGTCTAGCCCGCCACAAGGTCGTTAGGATATAGTTCCGTTCCACCTTAAAAGGGACAGGCATGACTATTGTGTGTCACATGCCCATTTACATTTCCAGCACAGCGCTTTCCGGGAACTTCCGTTTGTATATAGCTTTTGCACTGCTGCTGTTTTGCTGGAGACGAAGGGAAGCAGACATGTTTTCCTCTGTTCCTGAACTATGCTGAATAAAATGTTGTACAGTGGTACCTCGGGTTACATACGCTTCAGGTTACATACACTTCAGGTTACATACGCTTCAGGTTAAAGACTCCTCTAACCCAGAAATAGTGCTTCAGGTTAAGAACTTTGCTTCAGGATGAGAACAGAAATCGCACAGCGACAGCGCGGCAGCAGCAGGAGGCCCCATTAGCTAAAGTGGTGCTTCAGGTTAAGAACAGTTTCAGGTTAAGAACAGACCTCCAGAACGAATTAAGTACTTAACCCGAGGTACCACTGTACATTATGCTTACACATTTCTCTGTCCACCTCTTCTGCTGTGTGATGATTTACACACTTTGCTGACAGAGCGTGCACGGGTTTCTAAACATATCTGAGGCTTGTGTCGCTAATTGATGCTGTTCCAAGGGAGACCAGCTGCCAGCCAGTGGCTGGAGCCAGCTGGGGGCCTGCCTGATGCCCCCATCTTCCCGGCAGTATCCCAACAAAGGTCTGGGGGATGGTGAACTGGCCCCCTCCCCAAAAAGTTTGCTGAGCCCTGGGCTAAGAGATGGTGACTGGCCCAAGGTCACCCAGGGAGCTTCACGGCTGAGTGGGGATTCGAACTCTGCTCTCCCAGTTCCCAGTCCGACACTCTAGGCAAGGTGTCCATTTCCAGGCAGGAGCAAGTGCCCAGGGAGGTCCGAAGGAGAGCAGAGAATCATAGAATTGTAGAGTTGTAGAGTTGGAAGGGACCATGAGGGTCATCTAGTCCAACCCCCTGCAAGGCAGGAATCTTTTGCCCCTCGCCCACGACTCTCAGATTTTTTTTGCCCAATGTTGGGGCCCAAACTCTGGAAGCTGCTAGATCTGGGGCCCTTGTGGGAGCCCTCCTGGGTGCTCCAGGCTCCCTGAATACAGCCCCTCCCCACCCCTGGCTCACCGTTCTTTCCGCAGAAGCTGCGGTTGAAGCCGTGCAGGCAGATCTCGCGGCTGGACTCCTCCGTGGTGCCGTGGAAGAGGAGGCGCTCCACATCCCGGCGCCCGCAAACGTTCAGCAGGGCCACCTTCTTCAGCTGGTACTGCTGGTAGAGAAGAGGGTGCAGCAGCTTCTCCACCTGCCGGGCACGGGGGGAAAAGGAGGGACTATGAAGGCAGAGGCAGCGGTGGTGCAGTGGTTAGAGTGCCGGACGAGGACCTGGGCCAGACCTCAGCCACGAAGTGCACTCTTTGTGCCAGGCTGTGGAGAAACGCAGCCATTCTCGAAGCGCAGGTGCTCCCAATTAAGCTTTCCTCCTACTCCTACCCCCCAAATTATCTCCATCACTTCCCCCTTCTTGCAACCTGATCTCACAACCACTGAGCCTTCTGCATAGCAACCTTATCAGCACTCCTGGGAGAGAGAGGCTGGACACTGTCTAGCGAAGGGGAATCAGTTCTCTCTTCCTCTTCTGCTTCTCCTGGCTGTTCGCCACTCAGTTCTGCCCAGCTGTTGTTTTCCAAACTATGCCCCTCTGCAAACCAGTTCTCTAAATCTATGCTGCTCCACTGTTCCTGGGCAGCTTCAGGATCCTGGTCAGGAGCAGGAAGAGGGGGAGGTTCCCACCGTTCCTCATCAGAGCTGTAATCCTCAGTCGGGTCTCTGACAATTTGTGATCCTGCACCAACTCACTGCTGCCCAGTCTACTTGCTAGTCAAGGCATCATGAACATCCAGAAAAGATTGAAAGGTGGGTCAAACAACTGTCAGCCCCCACCGCTGTATCCAATTCTGGGTACCGAATTTTATTTTTTTATTTTTTTAAAATGATATTTATTAGAGTTTCCAATAAAAAGAACACATCAATAAAAAATTAAAAAGAAAAAAGAAAAGTACACAGTTCAAAAATACACAATACATAATCCAAAAAAACAAAAAACAAAAGACAAAAAAGAAAACAGTTAAAAACAATACCACCTTTTCATCACCATTTTTAAATTTACTTATTTTCTGGACCTCCTCATACCTCCCTCTTTTGTATTCCAATTCAATTTGTTTGTCCAGCAATTTCTTTCCCTCTTTTTTAATCCCAATCCTTAATCTTAATATAATATAACATTGAATTTTTACCTCTTAAAAGCCAAATTTCCATTTCCTTTAACTTTTTTTTTTTTAATCCTAATCCTTAATCTTGATCTATATATAACTTTAAAGCCTGTATAGCTAGAAGCCACTTATTTTCAATCCAACATCACTCTAACATTCTTTAATTTTGCAATGTTTCTGCAGACAGTCTTTGAATTTCTTCCAATCTTCCTCCACCGACTCTTCTCCCTGGTCACGGATTCTACCTGTCATTTCCGCCAATTCCATATAGTCCATCATTTTCATCTACCATTCCTCCAGTGTGGGTAGCTCTTGTGTCTTCCAATACTTTGCGATAAGTATTCTTGCTGCTGTTGTTGCATACATAAAGTTCTATCCTTTTTTAACACCGTTTGGCCGACTATGCCCAGGAGAAAGGCCTCTGGTTTCTTCAGGAAGGTATATTTAAATACCTTTTTTATTTCATTATATATCATTTCCCAGAAAGCCTTAATCTTTGGGCACGTCCACCAAAGGTGAAAAAATGTACCTTCAGTTTCTTTACATTTCCAACATTTATTATCGGGCAAATGATAGATTTTTGCAAGCTTAACTGGGGTTATGTACCACCTGTATATCATTTTCATAATATTCTCTCTTAGGGCATTACATGCCGTAAATTTCATACCTGTGGTCCATAACTGCTCCCAATCAGCAAACATGATGTTGTGTCCAACGTCTTGTGCCCATTTAATCATAGCAGATTTCACCGTTTCATCCTGAGTGTTCCATTTTAACAGCAAGTTATACATCTTTGACAAATTCTTAGTTTTGGGTTCTAACAATTCAGTTTCTAATTTTGATTTTTCCACCTGGAAGCCAATTTTCTTGTCCGAATTAAATGCCTCCATTATCTGAAAGTAATGGAGCCAGTCTCGCACTTTGTTTTTTAATTTTTCAAAACTCTGCAGTTTCAGTCTATCTCCATCTTGTTCTAAAATTTCCCAATATTTTGGCCATTTGACCTCCATATTGAGTTTTTTCAAGGCTTTCGCTTCCATTGGTGACAGCCATCTTGGAGTTTTATTTTCTAATAAATCCTTGTATCTTATCCAAACATTGAATAGTGCTTTCCTGACAATGTGATTTTTAAATGCTTTATGTGCTTTGACCTTATCATACCACAGATATGCATGCCATCCAAATACATTGTTAAACCCTTCTAGGTCCAAAATGTCAGTGTTTTCAAGAAGCAGCCATTCTTTCAGCCAGCAAAAAGCTGCTGATTCATAATAAAGTTTAAGGTCTGGCAGGGCAAATCCACCTCTTTCCTTTGCATCCGTTAGTATTTTAAATTTTATTCTGGGCTTCTTGCCCTGCCAGACAAATCTAGAAATATCTTTCTGCCACCTCTTGAAACAATCCATTTTGTCCACAATTTGCAAAGTTTGAAACAAAAACAACATTCTAGGCAATACATTCATTTTTATCGCAGCAATACGGCCCAGCAGTGAAAGCCTCAAATTTGACCAAATTTCTAAATCTTTTTTCACTTCCGCCCAACATTTTTCATAATTATCTTTAAATAAATTCCCATTTTTTGCTGTCATGTTAATCCCCAGGTATTTAACTTTCTTAACCACTGTTAGGCCTGTCTCATTCTGAAACCTCTCTCTCTCAATCGGTGTTAAGTTTTTCTCTAAAACCTTAGTTTTTAACTTGTTCAGTTTAAATCCTGCCAGTCGACCAAATTCTTGAATTAGTTCTAAAACCCTTTTAGTACTAGATTCTGGCTCCTGTAACGTCAATACTAAGTCATCTGCAAATGCTCTCAATTTGTACTGTTTGGCTCCGACTTGTATACCTTTAACCAACCGGTCCCTTCTAATCATGTTCAGCAAAACCTCCAGGACCGAAATAAAAAGAAGTGGGGAAATTGGGCAACCTTGTCGTGTCCCTTTTTCAATTTTAAGTTCTTCCGTCACAACATTATTTACAATTAATTTAGCCTTTTGTTCTGAATAAATTGCACTTATACCGTTTTCAGAACCTTGGCCTACCCCCATACCCTGTAGATTCTTCTTCATAAAGTTCCAAGAAATGTTGTCAAAGGCTTTCTCCGCATCCACAAATATCAAAACTGCTTTAGTGTTTATGTTCACTTCTAGTTTTTCCAGAATATCAATTATATTCCTCAAATTGTCAGACAGATGTCTTCCTGGGAGAAAGCCCGCTTGGTCTTTATGAATCTCTTCCATCAACACTTTTTTAAATCTCTTGGCCAAAATGTCAGCAAAGATTTTGTAATCCACATTAAGTAATGATATAGGGCGGTAGTTCTTAAGCTGTGTCTTTTCAGTCTCTGTTTTCGGTACAAGTGTAATATAAGCTTCTTTCCACGACTCTGGTGCTCTTTTCCCCTCCATTATTTCATTACAGACCTCTTTCAAAGGTTGTATTAACCATTCTTTCAAAGATCTGTAATATCTAGAAGTCAGTCCATCCGGTCCTGGAGATTTACCCAACTGCATATTTTGAATGGCACCTTCTACCTCTTGTACAGTTATTTTATAGTTCAACATTAGTTTGTTTTCTTGAGATATTTTTTGTAATCCATTTGTTTTCAAAAATTGATCTAGATCTGTTTCTTTCAGTGGCCCTTGCGTATATAGTTGTTTAAAGTACCTCTGGAAACAATTTCTAATCTCTGCTGGGTTCTGTATATTTCTTCCTTCCACTTCTAAGTTCGTAACTGTGTTTAATTTTTGTCTCTTTTTCATTTGCCATGCCAACAATTTACCACATTTGTTAGCCGACTCAAATGTCTTTTGTCTCATTTGTTTAATTTTCCATTCTATTTCCTGATTCATCATTTTCATGTATTGTACTTGATATAACTTTAACTCTCTCAAAATCTCTTGAGATTTTGGGTTTACTCTCAGTCTTTTTTCAACTTCCTTTATTTTGTCCAATATCTTATCCTTCTTCTCATTTTGAATTCTCTTCGTTACTGCGTTCTGTTGTATTAGGAACCCTCTCATAACCGCTTTACTTGCGTCCCAGATTACTCTTTTCTCCACGTTGGTACTCAAATTTATCTCAAGATAATCTCTCAAGGTTTTTTGGGCCTTCTTAAGCACTTCTTCATCTCTAAATAAGGTGTCATTCATCTTCCATCTAAAGGAGCCAGTTGGTGTTAATCTCATTTCCATCTTAACAGCGTTGTGGTCGGAGCAAGTTTTCGGGGAGATTTCCACCTTTCTTGTCTTTGGTGCCATTCCTCTAGTTATCCAAATTTGGTCAATTCTTGTCCATGTCATTTTGGCTTCAGAAAAGAAGGTTCCCTCTTTAGCCATGGGGTTTCTTATTCTCCAGATATCAACTAAGTCCAAGTTGTCTGTCATGTCAAAAAAGGTTTTCGGTAGTCTACCATCCTTAGTGACTACCTGTCTTTGTGCCTTGTCCATATATGTAGATACCACTCCATTCATGTCTCCCATCAAAATCATGTTGTAATCCAAATAGTCCATCAGTGTCTCATGCAACTTCTTAAAAAATTCAGATTTCCCATCATTTGGTGCGGAGATTCCTACTATCAAAAATTTTTCTCCTTGTGTTTGAATTTCAATTGCCACAAATCTTCCTTGGTCATCTTTAAAAATAAATTTCGGTGATAGTCTGTCCTTTGCATAAATCACAACCCCTCTTTTTTTAACTTTGTCCGATGAAATAAACTCCTGACCAAGTCTTTTATTTATCAACAATTTCCTGTGTAATCTTGTTATGTGTGTTTCTTGTAGACAGATCAAATCCAATTGTTCCTTTTTTAATAAGTGAAACACTGATTTCCTTTTCTGAGGGGAATTCAGACCATGACAGTTCCAGGTTAGTAGTTGCAGGGCCATGATGTGTTTATTTTAGTTCTCCTCCAACGGCACCTAATGCCTGTTCCTGTTCCGTCGGTGGTATCACGTTTTTCAGGCGGTCTTTTAGTTCCAGAGATAGTCCTGGTATGTCTAAAGTTTCTCTTGCAATTGTTCTTAGCTCTCCTGTGACTTTCTTTTGTAGGTCTTCTCCGTGGTCTCTCCAGAATTTGTCTTTGTCATCTTCCGATCTTATTTTCCTCTTCTTTCCTTTGTAACTAAAAGATAGGCCTTGAGGAAATTCCCACCTGAAGTTGATTCTATTACTTTTCAACAAAGTGACCAAGTCTTTATAGTTAGATCTGAGATCCAGAAGGTGTTTCGGAATGTCCTTAAATATCTCCACTCTTGTCTGATGTATTTCCAGTGTCTTCTGGAAATGCAAACCCAAGATCTTGTCCCTCTCTTCTTTTGTTCGGAGAGTAATCAAACAGTCTCTCACCTTCTTTCCTCCTCCTTTTCCAAGTCTAAAAGCATTCACTATTTTGAAACTGTCTTTTACCAATTCTGGATTCCAAAAGTCTAAGAATTCCTGCGTAAGAAAATCAGTTAAATTGTCTTTCTCCACTTCAGGTACTGCTCTGACCCTTAAATTCACTTGTTTCTCTTTCAACTCAATCATAGACAGGGTTAACTTATGGTCTTCAAGTTGTTTATGTAACGGTGGTATCTTCTCTTGAACCTCTGCAACAGACGCTGTAGCAATTTCTTTAGCCTCTTCGGCAATCTGACGTGTTGAGGCTGATTCCTCTAATAGTTTCTGAATAGTCTCTGTATTAGTATTTGCTTTCTGGCCCAAATTATTTAAACTTACTGTATTTTGATTAATACTTGTTGTATTTTGATCAATCTTGTCTGATGCCTCTGCTACTTGTCTGCTTATTCTGTCCAAAGATTCATTAATTTTAGCCAAAACCTGAGCAAAGGCATCTTCATTTGCCATACCTTTAGTTTTGGGTTGTGCCGATGGGGCTGCTGTTAGAACCCCAGAGGGGCCAGAGGTCGAAGCTCTTCTTTGTAATCCACCGTCTGTTCGCAAAACTTTGCCCGACCTTGTTGCTTGTAGCGACTCTAATTTCTCTTTTCCATCTGCCATCCCCCTCTAGATAAAACTCAAGGTCAGTCACACAGTTGAATTCAGAATTGTTTTGAAGTGGAAAGTTCCAAAAAGACAGTGTGGGAAAATCCTCAGGCCAGCTGCAATTGTAACTAGTTGTAACAAGTTCCAAATTCCATTAGGGGGACACTGTAACAGTCATAAAGTCAGGACTTCCAGAGGTGGCGCCATCGGTTAATGGCGGATTCCCTCTAATCTGGAGGGAACCGCTCCACGGAAACAGGGTCAGATCCCGCTTCGGCGTAGCGGGGGACCCCTGAAATCACAGGCGGGTGAAGCCTGTGAACTTGGGACTCGGCGGGCACGTTTTGCGCCCCCCCAATCCGTGAAGGAACCCGGCAACGGGCTCCGGAACGGAACGGGGGAAGCAGCGCTGTGCTGTGAGTCGTCTGCTTCTTCTGTGGAGTGAAGCCGCGCAGCTGTTACCGGAGAGCGTTGCCTTTCTTCCTTGAAAATTTGGCTTTGAAAACAACGATCCGTGAGTACAATTTTTAATGCAATTAAGGAACTGTACAAATTTGAAAAGAATTTGGCCGAAGCGGAGAGGTATAAAAAGGAAGTCTGCCTCCCGCTTGTGTAGATAAAACAAAGCATTGAACTTGAAAGCGGAAGCTTTAAAAGACGCATAAAAGGACTTCAATCCAATCATCTAACCAGGACTTTTCCCCCTCAACTTGAGGGAAGAGGGGGGGAAGCTTTGAATGTCACTTCATTAAGAAGAAGTGAGAAGATAAAAACCACTGCTCAATCCCCTGGGAACGGGTTCCCAGCGACAATAAAAAGCTGGAGAAAAGGTACTGTCTTTGAACATATTTTGACAGCTAGTCCTGCACTGGAAATACAATTTGGATACAATATTGCTGATAGGCATCTCCTGGTCTTAAAGTAACTGTTTAAGATAGACTGTTATTTTTCTGGTGAATTGGGGGGACTCAAAGAAGAAGTAAAGTATTTAAGAACTTTTATGACTGTTACAGTGTCCCCCTAGTGGAATCTGGGTACCGAATTTTAAGGAGGACGTTGACAGGCTGGAATGTGTGCGGTGGAGGGCAACCAAGATGATCAAGGATCTGGAAACTAGGCCTGATGAGGAACGGTTGAAGGAGCTGGAGATGTTTAGCCTGGAAAAGAGGAGACTTTGAGGAGATGGGAGAGCCATCTTCAAATGTCTCAGGGGCTGTCACAGGGAAGAGGGAACATGATTATCTTCGCCTGCTCTGGATGGTAGGACTCGAACCCATGGCTTAAATTGACAAGAGATTCCCACTAAACATACAGAAAAACTTTCTCACAGTAAGAGCTGTTCAGCAGAGGAACAGACTCCCAAAAGACATGCTGGACTCTCCTTCCTTGGAGGTTTCAAAGCAGAGGTTGGACGGCCATTTGTCGGGTCAAGCTTCTTGCTAGTCTAATTCCAGCAGGGGCACATGAGTGCCCACGGGCGCCACGCTGGCTCCCCTTGCTCCGCAGCATCATGCCCCCGGCTGTCCCAGACCAGTGCCCCCCCCCAAATACCTTGACGATGCGGATCTTGTTGTGCATGTCCTCCAGGGTGTCGTAGAAATGGCGCACCGTCTCCCGGAACTCCTCTGTTCCCTCCACAAGCTGCACCAGCCTCGCCTCCCCGTCGTCCAGCCCCACAGGGGCAGAAGAACCTACAGAGGGGGCACTGCCCGTCAGGAGGAGAGCGTGGGCTCGGAGGGGCCCTCCCCCCACACCACGGCCGCTCTTGGGCCAAGAGGCAGCCCATTCAGCCCTGGAGAGGAAGACCACACCTGAATTGGGTGGCAGAGCCTACCTGGGAGGCGGCCAATGGGCACAGTGCGGGCACTGCCCAGATCGTACTCTTCCATGCGCTCGAAGTCGATGGCGAAGGGGCGGCCGTCAAAGAAGACGTCCAGGCGCTTGAGCCCCCGACCCCACGCCTGCTCCAGAAGGGCGCTGGCCTGCACAGAGTATGGGGCGGAGGCTCCCTGGGGGTCCCAGTGCACCCAGCAAGCGTCACCAGGGTCCCCCACAGCCTCCGTGCGCAGCAGCCGGGTGAGCAGCAGCGCCAGGTCCCGCGTGGCGGCCAGGGGGTAGTCGGCGAAGCCTCGCACCACGGCCACCTCCCCGTCCAGTGAGATGCGCACGGCGTGCTTGCGCTCCAGGTGGGCCAGGTAGGCCAGGCAGGGCGGCGCCAGGGAGCGCAGGGCAGCGTGGGGCACCCTCTCCTCCCGCAGCTGGGCCCGCAGGGCGGCCTGCAGCTCCCGCGCCAGGGGGGCTGCGTCCTCCTCCGCCCCCAGGAAGACGACCACCTGAGCCGAGTCGGCCGCCTGCCTGGCGTCCTCCAGGGAGATGTGGAGGGCAGAGAGGAGGGTGGCGTCGGCACTGGGCGCCTGCTCCTGCGCCCAGCTGGTGAGGGAGAGCTCCACAGCCCGGCGCAGCTCCTCCTCCTCGCGCCGGGCGCTGTCCATCGACTGCTGGATGGCCAGCAGCAGCTGAGCCTCCTCTTCCTCCTCGGCCGCGCTGCTCCGCAGGGCCAGAGGTCCTTCCTCCAGCGCCCCCTCCTCCTCCTCCGCCCTGGCAGCTGCAAGGGCCGTCTCTGCCCCCTGCGAAGGCTGCTCGGGGGCTGTGTACAGGTCCTCCTGCTCTTCCTCCTCCACCTCCACATTCTCCAAGGACCAGGACCCCCGTCCGGCAGCTGGGGAAGCCCCCCGGGGAGGCTGGAGGGCAACCAGCAGACCCTTGATCTCTTCTGCGGAGGGAGAGGAGGTCGTCAGAGGGCAGAATGTGGGCAGGGAGGGGGCTCACTCCCCTTGTAGCCCCACAAGCCGACCCACGCTCCCCCCCCCAGGTAGAGGGGCTCCCCTAGCCGGCCTCTCTGAACAGGGGCCTTCGAGGGAGGAGGCACAGAGGAGACCCCCCCCATCTTAGAATCGTAATTATAATAATAATTTCTTATTTATACCCCGCCCTTCCCGGTTCAAAAACCGGGCTCAGGGCGGCTAACAACAAATTTAAAAAACTTAATTGTAAAAGCAGCATAAAATACAGTATAAAAACATGAATAACAATAAAATTCAAAAATCAATTAGATAATCCCCAGCGCTAGCTGGCTGAATTGGTCCTACTTGGGCCAGTGAGGAGGCCAGGGGAGAATTAGCTGTGGGATCCCAGAGCGGGTGAGGGAAGGGAACGGAAATAAAGATCAGGCTGAATTCAAATTAAAGGCCAGGCGGAATCGCTCTGTCTTACAGGCCCTGCGGAAGGAGGTTAAATCCTGCAGGGCCCTGGTCTCCTGGGACAGAGCATTCCACCAGGTGGGAGCCATCACTGAGAAGGCCCTGGCCCTGGGGGAGGATAGTCTGACTTCATTAGGGCCTGGGGCCTCTAAACTATGGTTATTCATGGACCTTAATGTCCTCTGCGGGGCAGACCAGGAGAGGCGGTCCTGTAAATACGAGTTGGAAGGGGTCTTCAGGGCCAGTCCAACTCCCTGCAATGCAGGAATCTGAATAATAATAGTGACTTTATGATTTATTCCTCTGGGTCTCTGGCAGGGTGGATAAAAATCAATGATTTAAAGTAAGAATAAAAATAAGATTTTTTACATTTTAAATCGCATTTTTAAAATTTAAATTGGATTTTTAAAACAAAATGATTTCGGAGGAAAAATCTTTCTAATGATAGTTTTCTATTTAAGTTACATTATAATCCAAAGGCTATTCATCAGGAAATAAGGGTTTGTTTTAAGTTTTTCATGTGTGCTAAAACTCAGTCTAAGTCTTCTGTTAGAAAAATCGTTTAACCACATCAGTTAACAAACATGGATACATATGCTACAACATTATTGCTTTATTTAAATAAATTGTTTAAATTGTTATGAAGGAAATGATACTTTTTCTCTTTCCAATAAAGTCCAGAAGAAAAATTGTCCAAATATAAACAGTTAACTTATTAAACCTCACAATAATTTCATAATTATCTGTCTTTGTATTTCTAATAGTATAACCAAATCAGAAATTTTTGATATAACTGTAAAAACTACTCTGAAAATTTATTATTCCAAAAATGAAACCTTCATCTGGTTGTAAATATTAAGATTATACCAGCAAGAATGAGTCTTTCTGTAAAAAAGTGATTTAAATCAAGTCTTACGGGGGGGGGGAATCTCCAGAGGGCAAGAAAGGGCAGGAAGCTCAACGCCCCTCCATCGCGCCAGCCCCACAGCGCCTCTCTCCTCTCCATCCCTGGAAGAGCAGGCAGGCAGGAGAAGGGTGCAGGATCTTACCCAGGTTGGCGTCACTCGGCTCACCAGCTGCGCCCACTGGGGCTCCCAGCCGCTCCTGCCCACAGGGGGCATCTCGTGGGCAGCTCACCGCCAGCGGCTCCTGAGACGTCTCCAGTTCGTGCTGGGGAGAAATTGGGGGAAGGAAAGTCAGAGCCATTTGAAGAGCCAAGCAGAGTCCGGTCTGGTTTCAGAGTGGGGGGGGGGCACATGTTGAGATTCTTGCATTGCCCACAGGGGGCTGGATGATAATAATAATAATAATAATAATAATAATAATAATAATAATAATCTATTTATACCCCACCCATCTGGCTGGGTCTCCCCAGCCACTCTGGGCGGCTTCCAACAAAACACTAAAATACATATAACCTATTAAACATTAAAAACTTTCCTAAGCAGGGCTGCCTTCAGATGTCTTCTAAAAGTCTGGTAGTTGTTTTTCTCTTTGATATCTGGTGGGAGGGCTTTCCACAGGGCAGGCGCCACCACCGAAAAGGCCCTCTGCCTGGTTCCCTGTAACTTGGCTTCTCGCAGCGAGGGAACCGCCAGAAGGCCCTTGGAGATGGACCCAGGTGTCCGGGCTGGACAATGGGGGTGGAGACGCTCCTTCAGGTCTACTGGGCCTTTGAGGCCATTTAGGGCTTTCAAGGTCAGCACCAACACTTTGAATTGTGCTCAGAAACGTACTGGAGTCCATGATGCACAGGGCCCCTTCCAACCGTACAAGTCTATGATTCTATGCACCGTACCAGAAAATAAAAGGCACATAGCATATTATAATAATAATAATTTTATTATTTATACCCCAGCCATGAAAATGAAGTAAACCATGAAAGTATAAAGGAAAAAGGGAGAGGTACTGGAAACCCACCTTCAGCTGGAATATGGTTTCACCCCCAGGAAAAATTATTGTTGTTGTTTGTTAAATTTATACACAACCTTACATCCAAAATTCACAAGGCGGTTTAAGACATAAGAACATAAAGTGCAGAATGTAATAATACCAAAAAAAATTCTGCCCCCCAAGGTGCATTTAGAAGGTGGCCACAGACGGTTTAAAAACCAAAGATATGTAGTGGAGGCAGCAGGTGAGCCTCCCCAGGGAGTCCCATCAAAGGGGAGCCACTGCAGAAAAGGCCCCACCACTAAGCCGCTTGGCCTTCACATTCACGGGGGGTGTCTCCTTCCCGCTTTCCTCCTGAGCTCCCCTTTTCCAGGGCATCCTGCCCCCCGAAAAAGTGCACCTGAACCCACCTGCGTCTCTGGGGGGCTCCAGCGGACCCTCTCCAGGCCGATGGTGCAACGAAAGCGCCTCTCCAGTTCCTGCAGCGTCTCCTGACCCCGTTTCTCCAGCAGGAAGCGGCTGATGCCCGGCAGCTCCAGCGTCACGGTCTGGGTGTGGATGGCGCTGAGCAGACTCTGCAGGAGCTCAGCTGCCGCCTGGCAGGCTCTGGCCTCCCCACTCAGCTGCACAGCAGGAGGAGAGCAGAGGCAACTGAGACGTTTGCATTCCACAAAGATCCAGCTCAAAGCAGCTTGAAGTATCACAACAGCGTCACAGAACAAGAAGTGTGGCAATCGCCAGGCGGTTCAGTCACATCTTGCACAGGGGCCACGTTCCGGGAGGGGCACACATATGAAAAAACACACACAGTGGAACCTTGGTTCTCAAACTTAATCCATTCTGGAAGTCCGTTTGACTCCCGAAGCCGTTCGAAAATCAAGGCGCAACTTCCGATTGGCTGCAGGAGTTCCTACACTGAAGCGGAAGCTGCGTCAGATGTGCGGCTTCTGAAAAACGTTCAAAAACCGGAACACTTACTTCCGAGTTTTGGGCATTCGAGAACCAAGGTACAACTGTACTCAAATTGCATCCTTGGGGAAAAACAAAAGCCATGCATGAGTTGCAAAAAATAGCTTTAAAGCTCTCTGTCTTGCTGGCCGCTCAACACATTGGTCTGGAAAACTAGGGATGCTTGCACAAGTTCTTGCGGGAGCTCAGAAGCCCTGCCAGATCTTGTGAGGGCAGCTCAGAATTGGTGCGCCCCAGACAGCCTGGCCCCCTCCCCAAGCAAGGCAGAGAGAGCTTAGAAGCTGTTTCTGCACCAGGTTTTTCCAGCGCGAAAAGAGCTTCTAAGCTCTCTGTCTTGCTCGTATTTTACTCGCAGGAACTCAACCAGGTGCGTTTGAAATCACACAGATAAGGATGCAATGGTACTGGAGTCTCAAAAGCGAGCAAAAAAATTCAGCGAAAACATGAATACAATTCAGGAGGCACAGTAATTCAAAATAATTGGAAAGGGCTTCTGAGTGCCAGACGACATGGGAGGGGGTGGGAATTGAAAAAGGGGGGGCATGGAGGCAGCATGATCTGGCTGCTGCATTTCCCTCTTGGGCGTCCCTCCCCACTCTGCAGTTCTATGGCTCCGGGCGTCCACCTTGCTGGGGACATCATCACCATCATCATTTTTCAATTTGTATACCGTCTTTCTGTCTTACAATACTCAAGGCGGTTTACAAGCTGAAGAAACAAAAATGTACATCTTATAACAATCTAATGCAATACAAAAATGTGATAGTGAAACTTTAAAATAGGCAAGCTACATCAAAAAGTAACATTCAACAATCATTACAATAATATTAAATAACAATAATAATAACATATAAAACATATACTGTATTTTTCACTCCATAAGATGCACTTGACCATAAGGTGCACCTAGTTTTTAGAGGGGGAATGCAAGAAAGAAAAAATTCTTTAAAGGGAGCGCTGAGCAGAGCGTGTATGCATCCCAGGCTCTGCTCAGGGCTCCCTTTAACAAGCGGCGTGGAGCGTGTGTGCGGCGCTTGCAGGCTTTTCCCCGAGGAGGGAGAAGGGCAGCAAGAGCTGCGCACACGCTCCATGCGGCTCGTGAAAGGGAGCGCTGAGCAGAGGCTCCCGTCTGCATTCGTTCCATAAGAAGCACACACATTTCCCCTTACTTTTTACGAGGGGGAAAGTGCTCCTTATAGAGCAAAAAATACGGTAATAACATATAAAAGTTAAACAGAAATCCACTCAACAGTTACAATAACTAATTTCTAAACGGTAACACTGGGCAACAATTTTTTACTTTTTGAATGTTGTCTAGATTTCTACAACTGATTTAGGGTATTTTTGCACTGCTGAATCAGGAAATGGCATCCGTTTCTCTCCATCAGGTCAGGTTTACTGTAAACTGAATGGTGGGCATTGATAAAGGTAAGTACACGTAAATTGCATGTTGCTTCACCATTTTTCAAACTTCAGGACTTGAACTTCCGTTTCTTGGAACTCCAGGAATGCTCAGCGGCAGGGAGGTCTCTCTTCAGAGTCCAACAGTAGTCAGCCATCATGACTGTGTCCCAGCGACCCTGATACCTGGTCGCCATCTCTTTCATGTCCTGATGGAATCTCTCCCCCTGCTCGTCACTCATTGAACCCAGCTTCTCAGGAAACCGGTCCATATGTGAAAATAGGTAGTGCATCTTGACGCTCATGTTGCAGCCCAGGTTTCTGAAAGCAGTCAGCATGTTGTTGACAAATTCTGCGTAGTTTCTGGCCTTATTGTTACCAAGAAAGTTCTTCACTATCAGAACAAATGCCTTCCACGCTTCCAGTTCCACTTTGTTCATTGAGTTTCCAAACTCTGGATCTCTGATGAGCTGACGGATCTGAGGACCGTCAAAGATGCCAGCTTTCAACTTCTCCATGGTCAATCCTGGAAAAGCCTGGCACAAGTAAATGAAGCAGTCACCATCCTTGTCCAGAGCCTTGGTGAACTGCTTGATTAAGCCGAGCTTGATGTGCAGCGGTGGGAAGAGTATTCTGTCTCTGTCCACCAGAGGGTCGTTGATGACGTTCCTTTTTCTGCAAGGCACCAATTCCTCCCGCACAGGCCAGTCCTTCTTCGTGTAATGCTGAGCACGGTCCCTACTATCCCACATGCACAGAAAACATGGGTACTTGGTGAAGCCAGACTGTTGTCCCAACAAAAAGTTCACCATCTTCAGGTCAACACAAATAAACCACTTATGCTGATCATAACCAATTTTCTCCAGCACATACTTCACCGCTTCATAGTTCTCCTTCAGTGTACTCGAGTGAGCCAGGGGTATAGAGGCAAACTGGTTGCCGTTGTGTAGCAGAACACATTTCAGTGATCGCTTGCTGCTGTCAATGAACAGTCTCCAATCTTTGGATTCGTACTGTGGCACTCCAAGCTTGAGCAGAAGCTGAGCAATATCTGCACAGTACACCAAGTCCTTCTCTTCCGAGAAAAAACGGAGGTACTCTTGATGCCTGTTGCGGAAGAAGCTGATGCGAGCACTGTCAGAGAGGAGGTTTTCCACCTTCAAATTAGTCATAAGCTGGAGCATGCGCGGGTGGAGTTTCCTATACACTTCGTGGGGCGGCTGCCCCATTAACTTAGTTTTGATCCCCCAACTTTATGCTTTGCCGCACCAATTTATGGAAGATTTCGAGGTTTTATGGCTTTAAACTGATCCCTTTTTGACATAATCACCCAGCACTATCGGACCTGAATACTTCTTGTCATTAAAATAATCATTTCCAATCAAAACAATTATTCGACATGGCATTTTATCCCCACCAACTTCTTCTAAAATGCTCCACACAAGCGTACATGTGAACAAAAACGTAAAAAAACGACATGTGGCCATAGCTCAAAAACTTGACCTGATTGAGCAAAACCAATGTGATTTTTGGATTCAGCGCATCAGATTCGTCCTAAATCAACTGCAAAAACGCAGACAACAAATTTGTTGTTGACCAGTGTAATCAATAAAACAACGGCAAGGCACAGAACATAAAATAATACAAGACAAATTGAGAAGCAGGATGCCCACGGGCCCAAGCAGCAGCAGCAGCCCCTCTCTTACCCGCAAGCCTGTGACGTCGTCTCCTTCCAGGGGCAGGAGGGTGACGCTGCCCATGCCAGCCAGCACCTCCTGGTAGTACCTCTGCAGGTAGCGCAGGGCGCCCGGCTCCATGGCCACCAGGGCCTCATCCGGCATGCTCTCCTGCAGGCAGGCCGCCAGCCGCGCCCGGTTCTCGGCCTCCATCCCGGCCAGGGTCAGGCCCTCCAGCCGCTCCCCGCCCTCCTCCAGGCGCACCAGGCAGCAGGGGAGCGTCTCCTGCAGCTGGGCCCAGCGGGGGGAGGCCAGGGCCGGCAGGTGCCTCTCTGACAAGGGCAGGGCAAAGCGGCCCAGGGAGGCGCCCAGCAGCTCGGTGGCCAGGCGGGCCGTCTCGGGCCTCAGGGCCGCCACCAGCACCTCGTCCGCAGCAGGGAGGAAGCAGGCGCCCAGCCCCCGCTCGGCCAGCCGCTCCGCCAGGCGACGCCGCACATCCTCCTGCCGAAGGAAGTCCAGGACCCAGGCGGAGAAGGGCAGGCGCTCGGGGGTCACGTTCTGCAGGACCCCCTGGACGTGCTCCAGCAGCCACTTTTGGCGCAGCGGGTCGCCCCCCGAGACGCGCAGGCCGGCTTCGTCCAGGGCGACCACGCATTCCGGGGCAGGGGCGTTCAGCTCCCGGAGGACCAGCTCCACCTGCAGCAGCTGCCGGGGGAAGGCTTCCGGGAGGGGCAGGAGGGCGAAGGGGGTCCCCGTGTCCCCTGGAGGGGCTCCGTCCACCTCAGCCCCTTCTTGCTCTGGGGGCTCCAGGAAGTCGTAGTGGGGGGAGACAGCCAAGCTGTGGTCCTGGAGGCGGTGGGTCTTCTGCAGCACATTCTCCACCACTGCAAGGGAAGAGGGAGAGGAGACAGGGTGAAGTGCCATCACCGCCACTGCGGGTAAACTCCAAATTCTGAGCCATAGAATCACAGAACGGTAGGGGTGGAAGGGGTCCGAGGGTCATCCAGCTCCCTCACTGCGAGAAGCCAAGTTACAGGGAACCAGGCAGAGGGCCTTCTCGGTGGTGGCACCCGTCCTGTGGAACGCCCTCCCACCAAATGTCAAAGAGATAAACTATCTGACATTCAGAAGACATCTGAAGGCAGCCCTGTTTAATGTTTGATGCATTACTGCATTTTAAAATTTTGTTGGAAGCCGGCCAGAGTGGCTGGGGAAACCCAGCCAGATGGTACAAATAAAATAAATAAATAACTGAATCCCATCAGGTCTGGCAGCCTGAATTTTTAAACTGCCCCCCTCAGGTTGACAGAGGATGCCAGCAACACCCCCTGGCCTTCCCGGAGGAAGTGAGTCTGAGGAGAGTTCCAGACTCAGCCCTTACCTGCCGGGTTCTGGAAGGAAACGACAGCCACCGTGGCCCCCGCAAGCAGTCTGATGGCCCGCACTGGCCCCCCACCGCTGCGCTTGCTCTCAAAGTACAGCTCCAGCAGGTCCTGGCTGAGGGGGCTGGGGCGGGGGCCCTCCCCCCACTGCACCAGCACACCGTCCGTCTGCTCCACCCAGTCCAGCGCCAGGCGGGCCCCATCCAGCGGCCGACTCTCCACATGCTCCACCAAGGCCAGGAACTCTGCCAGGACGAGAGGGAGAGGAGACCGAGTGAAGAGGAAGAAGCCCAGAGGAAGGAAGAAGAGCCCCCCCCCCCCGAGGAAGACAGGAGGGAAGCAAGAGACACACACGTACTTGCGTTGCTGAGCGGACTGGGCAGCTGCACCAGGGCCTGATCCCCTCTGGGGCTGCGGAAGACGGAGCAGACGCCACTCTCGCAGTTCAACATCCTCTCCACGTAAAGCTCCACCAGGTCCCGGCTGGTCTGGGGGTTCAGGCCTTGCAGGACCACCTTCCCATAATCCCGAGGGGCGGCCGGGTGCACCGTCAGGCGGGCGTCCTGCAGCTGGTGGTCCGTTCTGGAGAGGACCCGCTGGGCATCTGGATGGAGAGAGCAGGAGGCCAGAAGGTCACCTTGCAGAAGAGAAAGCGCCAAGCCAGCAGCCCAGGGTCTCCATTCCTGGGGGGCCCAGAGGCTGGAGCGGCAGCAGCAGGCAGGGCGAACCTGCTGCCCCCAGGTGCCGCAGGACCCCCTTCACCCTAGGCAGCACAGCCAATGGTCAGGGTGGGTGGGAGTTGCATCGGCGCCTGGAGGGCACCACAGGTTGCCCGCTCACTCTGGGCTACAGCAACACCAGCGCAGCAAAGCACCCCTGGATTATCTGAACTCCCAGATGACATGCCAAGGGCCAGGCACCCCTGCTTCCCATGGAGACATCCGCAGGGCCACCGTGGGAACAGCAGGCTGGACTAGATGGGCCCGATCCAGCTGCAGGGCTCTTCTGCTGTGTAAAGGCCCGCTTCTAGCTCCCCTTCTGGAAGGGGAGCTGCCCTCCTGCTTCCCCCTTCCCTCCCCATGGCCGCTATGAGGTCCTCCTCTGAGGGCCTTCTGGCGGTTCCCTCCCTGCGAGAAGTGAAGTTACAGAGAACCAGGCAGAGTGCCTTCTCGGTGGTGGCGCCTGCCCTGTGGAATGCCCTCCCATCAGATGTCAAGGAATAATAATAATAATAATTTATTTGCACCCTGCCCATCTGGCTGGGCTTCCCCAACCACTCTAGCCGGCTTACAACAAAATATTAAAATACCGTAATACATCAAACGTTAAAAGCTTCCCCAAACAGGGCTGCCTTCAGATGTCTTCTAAAAGCCTGGTAGTTGCTGTTCTCTTTGACATCTGGTGGGAGGGCGTTCCACAGGGCGGGTGCCACCACCAAGAAGGCCCTCTGCCTGGTTCCCTGTAACTTGGCTTCTCGCAGCGAGGGAACCGCCAGAAGGCCCTCGGGAGATGGACCCTGGTGTCCGGGCTGAATGATTGGGGGGGGGAGACACTCCTTCAGATATACTGATTTTAGAAGACATCTGAAGGCAGCCCTCTTTAGGGAAGCTTTTAATGTTTTAATTTTAATTTTGTTTTTAGTGTTCTGTTGGGAACCAGCCAGAGTGGCTGGGGAAGCCCAGCCAGATGGGTGGGGTATAAATAATAAATTGATGATGATGATGATGATGTGAGTCGCCTTTCTCCCACAGTAAGGCTGACAACAAGTGCTCCCCCCACCTCTTTTGTGCAATACAAATTTTCTTCCATGTTTGCAGACCAAAAGAATTTTTCTGGCGTGGCTGCGGGAGACAAGCGCTGTCTACAAAACGGGAGCAACAGTCTCCAAGGAGAGGAACTGCAAAGGATGGCAGGATCTCCTGCCAGCCAGCCAAGCTGCCGCACCCCCGGGGTTCCCTTTGTTAATGGAGAAATCTGAGGGCTCCCTTGGACAAAAAACAAGGACAGCAGCCAGGAATACCAGAGCAAAACAGCAGCCAGTAGGCTTGGTCTTGATTGAAGACTGTCGCAACGGGACTCCCACCTGCCACCAGGTGGAACAAGATGGAAGCCCCAAACAAAAGAGAACCCCAACTTTTATTAGCTGCTAATCCCCATATTACACCCTCCCCAAACTACATCACGGTTACATCATGAAAGGGGAGGTCTGGTGGCAGTAATCTGAGCATCCTGGACCCTGCCCCATGGTTCTCCTTGCCCTCCACCAAACACCCATCAAGTGTAACAAAAGAGATCTTTACATTTCCCTGTTTCCCAGCCCAGTTAATCACACCCTTTTGTCTCCATCTGGGTTTGTTGTTTCTGGAATGGCTACCTGTCTGGCACTCAGGTATCAGGAGGCCAGGGATTATCACTCAGGCAGAGGGGCTGCTGAGGAGCTGAGCTCACATGTCTATAGGAATTTCTGAAGTTTTCCCAGTGAGCCAGTACAGAGATACATTTATCGTTTTGTATTGTGCAGCAGAGGCCCTTTGAACAGATAGGAAGAAACTGCGATGAGGTGTTTTGTGGGGACAAGTCACAAAAGGGATTGTGCTGGTTTTGGTAGTGGGCTGCATGTGCATGAGATCTGCTGGAGGGCCAAACCCCCCCCCCACCTATACATAAATTCCTGCAACCCCTTTCCATTTCCAGGGAGCACTTGGGCAAAGCAGGCAGCCCCGCCCCACTCTGCCAGGCCCCCCCACGGGGGCGCACTCCCCCCCCCCATGTGCCAGGGGGCTCCTGCTTTCACCTGGAAAGCGGGAGGGGCGCTGCCAAACACCCCAGACCTTTTCTTTCCCTTCGGTGCCCTCTGCTCTGCTTGCCCCCTGCCGCCCCCTGAAAGGCAGAGCTCTTCTCGCCCCTGGGCTGCCCGGCGGGCGACTCACCCTCTTCCCTCTGGAAGGTGAGCGTGGCGCGGGCGCCCCTCCGACGGCAGCTCTGCACGGCGCCCCCGCCCGAGCGCCGCCGGTTCTCGAAGTAGAGCACCAGCAGCTCGTCCGCCACGTCGCCGGGGACCCCGCGCACCTCCACCGCCGCCGCCGCCGCCGCCATCCCGGGAAGCGAAAGCGAAAGCGCCGCGGCGCGCGCAGGAAGGGGCGGGGACGCGCCAGAGAGAGAGAGCGAGCCCGCAGCCCCGACGCCCCGAGCGGACGCGCGCAGCCCCCACGGACTCGGCGCCCGGGATCCCCGCCGCCGCCGCCCGGGCAAGAGCCGCCCGTCCCGCCGCCGCCGGAGGGGAGCTTCTCCGGCCCAGCTGCGCGCCGCGGGCAGCCCCGGACTACGACGCCCACAAGCCTCCGCGGCACCTGCCCGCCCCCTTGCCCGCCGGAGGAGGAGGCCGCTGCGGGGCGGACCCGGGGCCAGCAAGAGCCCCCCCGGCCAGCCAGATCTGGACTCGCCCTTTCGCTCTCCGGCGCCCACCCTCAGGATCCCGCTGCGCGCCGGCGCCCCCTCCCCTTGAAAGATGCTGGTGACCCACAGCTTGCGCGAGGAGGGGCCGCTGCCCTGCCCAGGGCGGGGGGGGGGTGCCGTCAAGGGGGGGGATCCCCTGGTTGATTTCACTTTCAGACGCCCTTGATCTGCCAGGGAGCTCCCGGTGCTCCGCCTGCTTCTCCTCCTCCCCGTTTCATCCTCGCAACACCTGGGAGGCAGGTGAGGCCCAGAGATGGCGACTGGTCAGCCACTGAGTTGCGGGGCGGAGCGGGGTTTCGAACCCTCAACCGAGGCGGGCTGTCCAGGAGGGAAAAGCTTCCACACCGGAACTCAGAATCATAGTGAAGGGCCCTTACAATATTGGTCTCTCTATGATCCCAAAAACTCTTTTAGACATTTTCTCCTCTCTCATATGTTATCCCCAAAACCCCTTCCTTTCAAGCCTGGAGGCTTTTACAACCAGCCGGAAGAGCCAGGCTTTTCCTCCTCTCTAAGATGTTACAGTGAAAATGGGCCTCTCTCTCTCTCTCTGGAATGTCTGGCTGAGGCGGGCAGAGATAAGAGCAAGGCTGAATGGGTGTGATTGCAACCCCAGGCAGGGGGAGGCTGAAACGGAGGAGGGTAAGACAAGAAACAAAGCCCCATCTTATTGCTATTAGTGGAAATCACATGTTTTACATGTGAACACGTCTCTATGCATTCTAAGGGGTATAAAAAGTGGGCACACCCTTACTGGGGTGTGCAGGTTGCGAGCTTATCGCTCTGTACCTTTGTTCTGCATATGCATTTCAAATAAAACCTTGTTAATAACCTGCAAGGACGTTTTGCCGCTTTGTGTGAATCTGTGCTCTGGGGACCCAATAGTGGATATGGAACAAGTCACAGAATTGTAAGGTTGGAAAGGGACACCGACGGTCATCTAGTTCAAATGTATTGGTAAGCAACAGAAATAAAAACCAGGAGTCTGCTTTTATAAAAAGTTGGCTAGCCAAAGATGCCCCCCTAATCCATCTCTCTGCCTCCCCACAACAGGCAGGTTGTTCAAGCAAGCTTCCAGGGGCTCCTGCTCAGCAGCTCTCCCCTCTCTTTCCCCTCTGTCTCTTCCTTGTGGGTCTCCTCTCATGACTAAAGAAGGAGTCACTCGAACTCAGGACGCAAGGGAGAAATGTGCTAAGAGGAAGGCACGCTTGGCAAATCCACACCAGGATCAGCTCCCGCCCAGAAACCAATGTCCCCACTGTGGAAGGACGTGTGGATCCAGAACTGGCCTCCACAGTCACTTAAGGACTCACTGTTAAAACCGTGTTTATGGAAGACAATCTTACTCAGCTATGAGTGATTGCTGAAGAGGAAGAAGAAGAAGAAGAAGAAGACGACGACGACAAAGCTACCATTCAGCCTCTGCAGCCTGCACCTCCTTCCCTGCCATCCAGATTTCATAAAGGATTTGGCTCTATCCAGGCAACATGGCGGCCTCCCTGCTTCCTTCTGGATACCAGACCAGCTGCTCCCTCTCAGGCCAGGCCTGTGGCAACGCAGGTGGGAACCTCTGTGGTCTGGAAGGGATTCCTTTACCTGCGACAGGTGGGCTTCCTGCTTCCCCTGGTCTGGCCCTTGGGACTCTCCCCAGACCTTGCCCATCACAGTCCTCCTCTGCACCTCCTCAGGTGCTGCTGCTGCTGCTGCTGCAGGAGGATGGGGAAACCTCTGGCTGTTGCAGAGCTGGGGGGCAACTGGCTGTGCAAAGTTTAGCAAGGGCTGCAGCAGGCAAATGTCGAAGAGAGAGTTAAGTCTTTGAATCAACAACACACAGCCTGGTCAGACGTTTATTGCCCGTTGCCGTTTAGTTGTTTAGTCGTGTCCGACTCTTCCTGACCCCATGGACCAGGGTCTCCCTTTTAAGGTTTGATGAATGTGCCTTTGTGAAGTCTCCATTTAGGCAAAAACAAGGGACCCCTCCCTTTCTGAAGGCAACCCTGTTTAGGGAAATTTTTAATGTTTGATGTTTTATTGTGTGTTTAATATTCTTTTGGGAGCCACTCAAAGTGGCTGGGGAAACCCAGCCAGATGGACGGGGTATAAATTAATTAATAATAATAATAATAATAATAATATTTTCCAAAAGTGTGCTGATGACATCCTTGAACTGGACCAGAGAGGCATCGCTTGGGGTCTGTGAAGGTACAAGGTGGGCCGTGAGAGACTTGCCCAGTCCAGTCAGGGGGGGGGTGTCCCAGAAGCTACTCCCAGGGCTACGAAATCTGGCAGCTAAAGGGCCTGGGTCTCCATCCCATACATGAATTGGAAGTGCCACCTAGCTTGGCTTTCTTTAGAAGCTCAGCCTACTCCCAGGCTTACCATAAATGATGTGCAGGGTGAGTCCTTTAAAAGAGGCCCTGTGGATACAGAGTACACATGTTCCACGGGGCCTCTTTTAAAAGTCTCACCCTGTATACAAGGGAGAAATTCACCTCCAGCCAGAGGAAGTGCTCTGCCAACAGGACTGTATTTTGAGGCCCCACTCGCTGGATCATCACCTTGTCGTGGTGAGTGGGTTGCATGTTCCTATGACCCTTGTGAGCGAAGCCGTCGGGAATCTCGTACTCCGTAAGGTCAAAGGGAAGGAGCCAGACAAAGAATGATCCAAGAAGTCCTCAACAGCAGAACAGGCGGATGATAACAAGCGGTATGTTACAACGGCTGTGAAGGCGGATGAAGGCTGCAGCAGATAGGAATCTACCGGTTTGTCGTGACTACTTCATGCCATCAGAATAGCCTTACTGTGAAGACTGTGCGTTGGTCAGTGTGCACTGATCTACACACACAAAACAAATTCATGCACTGGCATCTTCCAAAAACCCAACCCAAACCCCCAAAGTCCCATGGAGATCAGCAAATGCTAACAGAGGCAGGATCGTGAAATCTGGAAGCCCCTAGTCATGAACCGGCACATGGGCGGTGGATACAGATTCAGTCGTTCTGACTCAAGGAACGAGGCAGTTGAGCAGCTCAGCAGCTGTATCTATGACCGAGCAGCCCTTTTTAGGATCCACTCTGCTCACCCCAAAAAGGGGGAGGGGCTAGAAAAGGTGCCCTCAACGTAGTCTGCCTCCCTTTTGCCCAGTGGGGTCACCACCTAGCGGTCGTAAAAGACAAATGAACTTTGGAACATGGAATATACAGACTTTGTCAGATAACACAGACAGCGAGCGTCCTGAACGCAGAACTGCCATCTTTGCAAGAGAGCTGCGACGTTTTAACATCAATATTGCAGTGCTTCAAGACTCTCGAAGAGCAGGTGAGGGACAACTGAAGGAAGAAAAAGGAGGCTACACATTCTTCTGGAAAGATCTATCTGAACAAGAACATCGAATACATGGGGTAGGCTTTGCTATCAAAAACAACCTTGTGAAGCTCCTGTCAGAAGTTCCTACCGGCATTAATGAGCGACTCTCAACCCTTCAAATAAAGCTCACAAAAAACCAACAGGCTACTATTATAAGCACTTATGCACCAACACTGGATGCCGATGAAGACATTAAAGAAAAAATTTACTCTCAGCTGGATACTGTCCTATTAGAGACGCCTAATGAAGATAAAATTATCCTCCTGGGTGATTTTAATGCAAGAGTTGGGTGAGATTTCAATTTGTGGCCTGGGACTATTGGGAAAGAAGGAGTTAGCAACAGCAACCAGAACAGAATCTTACTTTTGACGATATGTGCAGCGCACAACCTTGTTATTACCAACACACTCTTTTGACAGAAAAATAAATTTAAAACTTCATGGAGGCATCATCGGTCAAACCACTGGCACCTCTTAGACTATGTTATTGTCCTTGCTAAAGATCACCATGATATGCTCATTACCAGAGCTATGACGAGCATTGACGACTGCTGGACAGATCACCGACTAATACGCTCCATGATGGGTATCAAGATTATACCTCAACACAGGCTTCAAGGAAGGAAACCAAGGCGCAAAATGAACACTCAAGCCCTTCAAGATCCCATTAAGCGGGATTGCTTCCAAACGACTCTTGAGGACCATCTGCTTTCAGAATTCCCTGATAACATCGAGGAACACTGGACCAAGCTAAAAACATCCATTATTGCAGCCTTTGAACAAACTATTGGATACCAAACCAAGAAACACCAGGACTGGTTTGATGAGAATGACAGTGAGATTGAACGCATGATTGACAAGAAAAGGAAGACCTTTCAGATCTGGCAAAGAGATAGAAACTGTACCACTAAGAAAGAAACCCTATCCCAATGCTAAGAACCAGAGAACTAAAGAACACCTGGTGGATAAAAAAAGCTCAAGAGATCCAGCACTTAGCCGACACTCATGATGCACAGAGTTTCTTTAAAGCCACAAAGACCATCTATGGGCCAATAAGTCATGGCATATGCCCCCGACACTCAGCAGATGGTACCACACTTCTAAAAGATAAAAAGCTATTGCACTGTGCTGGAAAGGACACTACCAACATCTCCTTAACTGCAACTCCTCCGTAGCTGCTAAGGTCCTCTCACAAATCCCGCAAAAACAAATTGGAGATGAGCTTGCAGTATCTCCAAATCAGGAAAGCTGTGTACAGCTATTAACCAAATGAAAAACAACAAAGCCAGTGGACCTGATGGGATACCTGCCGAAATCTTCAAAGTGGGCAGAATTGAACTTACACAACAACTTCACAAGCTCATCGAAAAAATCTGGGAAAGAGAAGAAATCCCAGCAGACTTTAGAGATGCCAAAATTAAGGTGACAGAACTGATTGTGGAAACTATCAAGGCATCTCTCTATTAGCTGCGACCAGCAAAATTATTGCAAGGATCTTAGCAAACCGTCTCGTAACAATATCCGAGGTGACCCTTCCTGAATCCCAAAATGGTTTTCGGCCTTCTAAGGGGACAGTGGACATGATTTTCACCGCTCGACTGCTTCAAGAAAAATGCAGAGAGCAAGACCAACCCTGTATATGGCGTTTATTGACCTGACTAAGGCTTTCGACACTGTAAATCATAATGCCCTGTGGACTGTCCTTCTGAAAATTGGCTGCCCATATAAAGTTGTGAACATCATTTGGCTCCTCCATGATATGACAGCAACAATCACAGATAACAATGGCTCTCAAAGTGAACCATTCACAGTGGGATCAGGTGTTAAACAGGGTTGTGTTATTGCCCCAACTCTATTCATTATTTTCATTACCATGATCCTACACTTTGTCGAAGGGACACTCCCCATCAGAGTAGAAATCATATACCGAAGAGATGGAAAGCTCTTCAATCTGAGTAGGCGGAAAGCAAAAAGTAAGGTTACCGTAACTTCCGTCATGAAGCTTCAGTATGCTGATGACAACGTAGTGTGCGCACGCTCAGAGGATGACCTCCAAACCATCCTAAATTTCTTTGCAGAAGATTACAAAAAGCTTGGCCTATCACTCAACATCCAAAAAAACCAAAGTGCTGCACCAACAAGTACAAAATAACCCCTCTGCAGCGCCACAAATCCAACTCAATAGTGTAGTGTTGGAAAATGTTGATCACTTCTCCTACCTAGGCAGTTATATTTCCACAAGGGCCAACACTGATGCCGAAATCCAGCATCGCCTGAGCTCTGCGAGTGCAGCTTTCTCCTAACTGAAGTGCAGAGTGTTTGAGGATTGGGACATTGGCAGGGAAACCAAAATGCTTGTTTACAAAGCTCTTGTACTACCAACCTTACTATATGCTTGTGAAACATGGACCACTTATAAACGCCATCTCCAGCTCCTCGAAAGCTTCCATCAACGGTGTCTCTGAAAAATTTTAC